TGAGCCAAGTCTGTTATGATTATTAATAGTAATGAAACATTGCCTGTTAGTAGAGAAGCCCAACCACTTTCTAGTAATAAAATGATCAGGAAGTGGAAGTTGTCAAATAATACCTTTCTGGGTGAGTTCATTTTATTTATTTTCATCCCCAGTGCATTGTGGCAAATATTGAAGGACAGAGCCTTATTTTAGAGCAGTGCACATCTTTATAAGACCAGTTTTTACTGGTGGACTTTCAAAAACATTTTTTTTTTTGTCTATGGGAAGGTATCTAGGTAACAGCTGACATAAACCTAACTTGCACTGATATTTAAATGCTTAAGTCACTGCACAGCAAAATTTGGACAACTTTAAAGAGTGTTACCTCACTGTTTTCATTTTTAACTCTCAAGCTAAGTAATTAGCTAAAGTATCCCAATTTCTGACAGAATAATTGATGCTTAGAGGGGTTTTCATTTTACATATCAAGGTTTTCATGAAGCCCTTGGGGATCCCAGCATGGTTTTTTATATCGTATGCTCCAATTTCAAATGCAATGAAGTTTATGTTGAGAAGTTTTTAAGATGACATCAAAAATTCAACAGTAGCAACAAAAATAAGGAATCCAGAGAGACAGTTCTCAAGTGGTAAAAAGTTTGTGCTATATAAAACTCCAGATTTCATGGGAGAACTAGAAATTAGCTTCATAAGAACTGAACTCAAAGCCTTTGAAAATTGGTAGAAAAGTGCCCAGTGATAATAATAAGCTTTGAATCAGAAGAAATTTATTTTGTTGCTGATTTTATTGAATGTATGACTTTATTCTTTCCCATGCAGGGTTCTAAAAGGTTCACATAGCTGCAGTATTGGTGTAAGGCTTAGATCTGGAGGGGGGTGCACTTGTCCTTCTCTTCCCTGCAGCCTCCAGGAAGTGCTGCTAAACACCACAAACTGGTCCGGAGTGCTGGGTGCTTGTGCCCGATGTTCAAGTAGTAAGGCAAGATGGGGAATGCAGAGTCTCTTCTTCAGGTGGCCCAAGCTCTCAGAAGCAGTGCTGCAGTTGAGGGAAGTGCCTTTTTGCAGCAGGACCCAATGCATGCAAGTTTCTCCCATGGAACAGCTGCAGATCCTAGGCTGAGTTTCTTCTTTGGAGTTTTGAATAAAATGGCAGGCAAGTAGATCAGGGCACCTGCATTTGCCATGGATTTCAGCTCATTGGCTTAGCCTAACAGTTGCTTTGTGCTGTCCTATGAGGAAGAGAGGGATTGCCTCTGCCTTGGCTGGTGGGGTGGAGGAAGGGTGCTGCCTTCCTGCTGGTGGCTTAAACTGGGAATTTAGAGCCAGTGGCACGGATGGAAATATATATATAGAGAGAAGGAAGCTGAAAGAAGTTGTGATGCGGGAATGATGCATTGGTTGTACAAAAAATACTGAAGTAACAAAGTGTGTTTTCCAGAGGTTGGTAGGGTAGGAAGTAAATTTTCAGTGGTTTCTGAGCAGTTTGGATGTGGAGTCTTTTGGCAGAAGACTGCTTGATACCAAACTGTGTTCTTGGTATGAGTGTAACTCGTGTGCTCTGGTTTTGTATGAAAATCACAGAGATTTTGAGGCTTGTTCTCGACTTACACATTTCTCACTTCTGCTGATGGGCCTTATGGCTTTTAACAGCCATTTACACTATTGGAACCATTTTATAGTGAATTCTTTGGAGTGTCCCTCCACTTGTTCCTCTGCTGCTCAATAGATCATGGAAGCTGAGCTTTCCATAGCAGAGGAGCTGTGACTGGAATTGTGCATTGAGGCATTGCACAAGACTGCTCTAGGAGCAGTGAGAAAGATTTTTATTTCGCTTGATTATTAAATCAATTTATCCCTTCCAGATTCACTATAAATTGTTCTGCTATGAATCTGAGCTTCAGAGAAGCCCATACTGATGCCATTGCATAGATCATTGCTTTCTAATCTTGCATGCCTTTTAGCGAAGCTTTCTTTTATTAATTTATATTTCCTTTCTTGCTGCAGTTTTTTCTCCTTATTTTTCTATTGTAGGATCTGGAATTTCACCCCTTGAAGATGACGAAGATGCATATGCACGCAGTAGATATAAAGGTGAATGTTTTGCTTATGTGCCAATAAGGATCAGCTGGTTGCTGAGAGAAAGCTTTCTTCTTTTTCTTTTCATAGATTATAGAATCTTGCAGATCCAGCTCCATGTTGTTACTGCTTTTTTTTCCCCTTCCATGGATTTGAGATCAAGGTTTACTTTTTACCTTTTTTTTTTTTATTATTTTTTAAATGATGGAAGTTAGACCAAGTCTCAGTCTCCACTCTTATGCACCTGAGTAAGTAACCCTTGCACTGCCTTGGCTCTTGGAAGTTCAAGTTTGCAAGATCATGAAAATCTATGAGGAGCTTCTCTTCTTTGTTCTTCATACATTATAACAAAACCATCAATGATAGCTGACTCAAAGCTTGCGACCATTGATGGTAACGTGTAGAAGAACATGCAAGAGAACTTGATTTTCATGACTTTTTTCATAAAATTGTTCTCATTTTAAGCTAACTTGCTGTCTGTAATGCTGTGTTTAATGAAAGAACATTTCCATTCTAAAACAGTTACCATAGCTGGAGGAAAGAGCGGATGGGCATTGCATGTTTATAAAGCAAATTCAGGTTTTCTTCCACATTGCAGAAGATTTTGCTCTTCAGCAAGGCTGAGAAGCTTTTTGCCAGTTATTAGTAAATCTTCCAATTACTATGTCAGTTTCTTAAAGTCTGTCTCAGTAGCCCCCCTCCCCTGCCCAAATTCCTCAGAAACCCAAACAATACAGAAACATGGCATTTTTTGTCACTTTAAATGGCAAGTGTTGCTTTTTTTGTAAACTGATGGGTGAACGTGTTAGAATTGTTGTGTACTTGTTTTGATTACTTGAAAACAGAGGACTTGGTTTCATGCTATTGATACCTTGCAGAGAAATAGTGGGCCTTAAGTAAGAGGTAAGTCATAAGGTAACGCAGACATCTATGAACAGTAATGATGCTATGATTATATTGCTATTTTCATAAAGTTCTCCTGTTCCTCCCTAAAATTTTCCTTTTAAACACATGCAGAAATGTTTCTCTAAAGCTTTCTTTGTGTAAACTCATTCTTCTTTGCCTTTTAACATGTAACCCTCTGTGGACCCTTAGAAAAAGAATCCCAAAGATCATAAAGATAGATCAATGCCAATTAATGCCAGGGCAGGCAAGTAGTTAAAATGCAGATTCTGCATAAATTCCTTTTTTATGGTGATCCAACATGGATTATGTTAACGTCAGCCAAAATGTCACGAGGGTAAGTGAAACATAATGACTCATTCACACAGACACTAAAAACTACCCTGAGCTTGGAAACTCCACTGCCAAATGTTGAGGATCAAACAATGTGAATGTAAGAGAATAAAGCATGGAGCAGAAAAGGCTCACTCTTCATTAGCATATTTATTTAAGTTGGTAGTGGGAGGGAAGAGGGTGGAGAAGGACAAAGCAGGGAAAAGCAGGCTAAGGAGCCATGTTCTGAGCTGCTCTTCGTATGTGCAGTTCAGCATTTCCATTATGGCCTATCGCTTGGTTAGTACAACTTCCCAGTAAGAAGTAGCTAAATTTGCTTAGCTTATGTTAACATATTTAAGCAGTGCTGTGTTTTTTCTTTGCCCCTGTGCACACTAAGCAGTGTGAGCAAGCACACAGATTCGTCCTTATTTTCATATGCAAACAAAGCATTGCTGTTTATGGGGAGGAACTGACCTCCTACCAAACCTCTTTGTCTTCATCTGGATGTTTTTCAGCTTGCTCAGCTTTCCAGAGAGAGACATTGCTGAGACTTTCTGTGTCCGCAGTGTTTTCACAGTTTTCTCCTCCTTCCCTAACGAACCTTCCACTCTGGGGTACCCTTCAGTGCAACAGGGCATTTTGCATGCAGATTATGAAGGAAAACAGACTGGTGTTTAAACAGCACTGAGAGGCTGAGGGAAATGATGCTCTAGAAAAAGCTTTCATTCCTGCCACTTGGCAGGGCTGCCTTGGATCTTATTTTACGAGGAAAACCTTCTTGAATACAGCAGTTCCTGTGTTCATCACTGCCCTAATGCCAACTGCTCTGAGATCCTCCTTCTTTACATTTTTTTCTCAAATCCTGTAAGGATGAAACCGTACCCCAACTGTAGGTAACATTGTAACATTGTGGTTTCAGCCATTTCTGCTTGCTGCCTTTTTTTGGAGGCTTCAAACACAATTAAGTCTTTGAAATATTTTACTACTAAGCGATAATACAGGGTATTTTATTCACAGAATCATGGAAGGCTTTGGGTTCAAAGGAACCTTTAAGATCATCTAGTTCCAACCCCCCTGCAATAGGCAGGGACAAGCTGCCACTCGAACAGATTGCTCAAAGCCCCATCCAGCATGGCCTTGAACACCTCCAGGTCTGGGGCAATCACTACCTCACTGGGCAACCTGTTCCAGTGTCTCATCATCTTCATAGTAAAGGATGTCTTCTTAATAACTAGTATCTAATGTCTACCCTCTTCCAGTTTGAAGCCATTTCCACTCATCCTGTAGCTGCCAGCCCTTCTTAAAAGTCCCTCCCCAGCTTTTCTGTAGGCCCCCTTCAGGTACTGGCAGGCTGCTATGAGGTCTCCTTGGAGTCTTCTCTTCTCCAGGCTTCACAGCCCAAGCTCTCACAGCCTGTCCTCATAGGGGAGGTGCTCCAGCCCCCTCTTCATCTTCATGGCTCTCCTCTGGACCTGCTCCAACAACTCCATGTCCTTCTTGCGTTGGGAGCCCCAGAATGCTAAACCTGAATGCAGTACTACAGGTGGAGTCTCACAAGAGCAGAGTAGAGGGACAGAACCACCTCCCTCAATCTGCTGGTCATGCTTCTCTTGATGCAACCCAGGACATGGTTGGCCTTCTGGGCAGCAGGTGCACATTGCCAGCTCATGTTGAGTCTTTCATCAACCAGGACCCCCAATTTTTTCTCCTTAAGGCTACTTTCAAGCCATTCTCCTCCCAACCTGTATCTGGGCTTGGATCTTATCACTAAGGAGCGGTGCAAGCTGTCTACTAAGCATAAAAACATTGCATCAGAACTAGTACCTATAATTTTATTTGCTTGCACAGAGCCCCAGTGAAACTCCTGAAGAGATGCCTGAGAGACCTGTAACTTTTTCTATTTCCAAATTCTTCAGAAACAGGGCTGGTCTTGTCCCAGACGGAGATGCATGACCTCTCCAGGCCCTAACCAACCCTAATATTCCTTAAATACTACATGTAGCTGCTTAGCCTTTGAAAAACAGTATGTGCCTTCACTTAAAAATAAACAGGCTTTGATGTAAAACTTTGTTGTATCGTTTGATGTGTGTTCAGGCACAAAAGCTTTTCAAGTTCACTGGGTTTGATTCAGCGATATCAGTGGTTCCAAACCCAGATTCTTGCCCCCTTCGCCTGCCTCACTGACTTTCTTCTAATCGCTTTCAGTTCTGGAGTAGGAATAATAATATTTTAGATCAAAGAGATGTTCCCTCTAAGCTCTTCAAGCTATCTGCATCCAAAAGCAGGTCTGTTTTTGTTTTTATTTCTAGCAGTACTATTTGGTCTGATAAAAGATGTGCTACCTCTCCCTAGGAGCCTTGCTTTGTTTCTGTAGACCACCATAACTGCCAGAAAACTGCATCAAGATTTTTGTTGCTGATGTTTTTCAGTTTTCATTTTGTGCAGTAAATTGCATTTGTTAGCTGCTAGCCATTTTTTTTCTTCTTTTTTTCTAAATATACAGGCAGCTGTCTACTTACAGCTGCAATATTTCTAAAAAAAGCTCAGGCTGTTTGCAATACTCAGAACAGCTGATTTGCTTTTTTGGTTGGCCACCTGGTTGCATTGCCAAGTGTACATCTTAATGCCCTTTATGAAGGAAATCAGTCGTGCTCGTTTGCACTTGATATCTGTATGACACCTTAAGCATAAATATCATGATTTGCTCCAAATTGCCTTGCTAACTGGGATGAAAACAATCCTCAAGTTGTGTCCCTTCAACGCTGTTGAACAGGGCAATAGTCTGATAATGAGTCTGTGATGCCCATCCTCAAAGTGCTCTTTCTGTTTCTCCAGGGCTGACACAGCAAAACGTAGGTGGAAAATCCAGTTTCCGTTGGGAAAGTGCAAACAAGGCCTGGAGGCATTCTACACTGAATACAAACTATTACAGACTGTATTGCTTTTTGTATTTGAAGCTGATCCCAATTGTGTAGAACATGTACCTAACCACTATGTGAATGAAGAGCTAGAAGTGAACATCTGCCAAAGTGCTCTTTTTTTTTTCCAGAAGTTATTTTTAAGTGTCTGCTGTGAGCTGGTGAAGATGAAGGCTAAAACTCTTTCTCTAGATCTTTTTTCTTCTTTTTTTTTTTTCTTTTTTGGTTGTTATTGTATCTCTTGTAGTCTTCTGTAAGTCCCTGCATGTCTCATCTGCTGCTGCATGTCACACAGGACTTCAGGAGCTGTCAGCTCTTTTGCCTTACAGTCCTTCCATCCCCCTGGGTCTGTCCTTTTCAAGTCTTGGAGCTGAGAAGCAGCAGACTTAGTCACTGCTTGGGTCAGAAACTGCTACTGAAAAGCTGCCCAGAGCACAAAACCCAGTGCTTTCTTCATCTGTGCTGCTGTCAAAGCTCAACAAAGGTTCCAAATCTTTGCCTGTGAAGCAGAAGTCTTTATTTGATACTGCACCCATCAGTATCCCAGTATGAGGATAAATCCTCCACACCTCATGACTACTTTGAAGTTCTGATCAATTACTAAAAATACAGTTTCATCTGCACTTGTGTTTCCCTTTTCCCACAACTCTGGCAGAAGCATTAGTCACCAAGTCCCAGCACAACTCCATCTTTTCTCTCATTTGGCAGATGCATCCATGCTGCTGTCCTGCATCCAGGAGCAGCAAGAAGGCAATTCATGTACTCAGAGCCATGTTTCCTTGTTTTTTAGGGAAAAGGTGGTCCTTCACCCATCTTTGAGGTGAAGAGTGTTCCTTTTTTTATGCACGTGCGCTATGTGTATGATCATAAACAAGCACTGACACTCTCTGAAGAATTTGATAGGAAGAGGTACAGGTTTTAGTCTTGTCCAATCCATGTGTTGTGCTGGAATGCACACTTTGCAGTTGGATGCTGAGAATTTCTACCAAAAAGAACAGAATACGTTTAGATCTGTCTTGAGAGCTCTTCAGTTAATCTGCTAGATTGGACACTTCCCTTCAGGTTTGATCATGGCAATGATTGTGCCCAGCTTTGCTGGTAGAAGGCTATTTTATGTTAGTGATCCTATGAGTATGTGAATGTTTCTGTGTGGCACCAGAGAACCACTGAGGGCTGTAAAGGTGTAGACTTTTCACTCCAGCTTTAACCCTGAGTGCTAACTTGGAAATTAATATTGCAAAACCAGAGCCAAACTTAAACCCTGAACGGTTGATCTGGTGTGAGAAGGGTGTATACGTGCAGGCTTGATTTTACTGATAATGCAATTTAGGAAGGTGACATCCTTTCTAAACGTTGTAGAGGTTGACCTGTTGTAGAGTTCATCTAAGGCAAAGTTCTCTATTGCATAAATCACTGTTTCTGTAGGCAGCAGGAGAGCTACATGTTGCAAAGATTACAGCTACAGTCAGACCAAGTCTGTCACTGATGCAAACTTGTGTCACAATGTTAGATTTCCCAGTTTAAAAACAAGAAAGATCTGTCTGTCATCAAGATGTCCACATGGTGGCACACTTATTCCATGGACAAAAAAACCAACACCTCCTGCCCTAATCTATTGACTATGATCTTTAACGTTTGGGATAAAAAAGAGCCACCAGTATTTGAAGACCTGACCTACAGATGTGTAAGTACTGAGTACCCCTTGCTGTGCTGTTATGTCTCCTCTTTTGAGGATCACTGACTTTTTGAATGATATATTTTTTTCATCTGATTCTTCTTGTGACCTTGTATGAAGAAGATGCTTTTACATTCCTGTCTGACCTTTTACATTTTGTGAAGTACTATGTACATTTAATTTTGTTGTTCTCTGTGCTAGAAACACCATGGTGCTCTCCCATTAAGGTGAAACATGGTTATGCAAACTGCAGGACACCTCAAGGGGAATATTACAAGAATGTACTGGGGACAAGATGTGATATTCGTTGTCAGAAAGGCTATGAACTGCATGGCCCTCAGCAGCTCATCTGTCAGTCAAGCAAACGCTGGTCTGGGAAAGTGCTGTGCAAACGTAAGTAGTGCCAATGCAGCAGACACTGAGCTCTGCTCATCTTTGTATTCAGTGTAGCTGAAACCTGAGAGTCCTAAGTACTAACAAGACGAAACAGTCATCTTTGGTGGTTATCTTATTTTAGTCATAGGCAGTGTAGACAGGCTTGTCATCTAAAAGTCTTGCAGTGGTACGTGGTGTGATAAGTATCACAAGTGAAGTGGAAAGCAAAGAGGACAACATATTACAAGTGTAAGATTTTTATTTGTGGGAAGAATTTTATGAAAAGAACCTTAAAACTTCTTTAGAAAATTCTCCATTGTGGACTTTGTAAGCTGATGCAATTTTTATCAGGTGCCTAAGTGGGCTCTTGCAGTAAAATATCTTGCAGTAAAATGTAAGACATGTACGTGCTCTCTCTCATATAAATACTGCATTGGGCTAATGTGCGTGTAAAATTAAATTTGAAAGATGATAAATAAGAAAAGTGCAAAAACCTCATGTGGGGATTTGCTTGGTAGCTGCACCTTTACTTCTCTGCAACACCTCGGGGACATTATTCTAAGGGAGTATTAACAGGTTTTCAGAACTCTCTCTTCTCCATTTCAGAGAAGCGCTGCCCCACGCTCTCCATGCCAACCAATGGGGGCTTCAAGTGCTTGGATGGTGCCTACTTTGGCTCCAGGTGTGAGTACTACTGCTCACCAGGGTACCAGCTGAAAGGCGACCGCATAGTGACATGCATGGACAGCAAAGCTTGGAGCGGCCGGCCAGCTTCCTGCGTGGGTAAGTAGAATCACAGAATGTTTTGGGTTGGAAAGGACCTCACAGCCCATGCTGCCCCAACCCCTGCCATGGGCAGGGCTGCCCCCCCACCAGCTCAGGCTGCCCAGGGCCCCATCCAACCTGGCCTTGAGCCTCCAGGGATGGGGCACCACAGCTTCTCTGGGCAGCTGTGCCAGTGCTTCAAAATAGTATGCTTTGTCTGCATTGTGATAGTTCCCTACGCAGATTGGACACTGGCCCCTTTTTTCTGATGCCCCCCTCTTGCATTTGTTTCTTGGTATCGTGGTCTTCTGGCTATACCCAGAGAATATGGATGGACTGTAGTCACCATGATGGTGACTATAGCAATCTAGTCTTAATGTAGTTCACATGAGTTTTACCAGCAATTTCCATTATTTAGTCACCAATATCCTGGGAATCTCAGCTGGTACAATTGGTTTTTATATCCGTAAATCAATCAGGATAGAAACAAATAACAAGAGTTAACTTCTTCCAACTGACAAGATTTGGCAGATAGGCAGTGAAGTCTCTGCTGCTGCTTTTTCTGGGAAGGTTCAGCAGCTGCCCACAAAGAAAAGCTGTTCAGCTATCTGACTTGGCTACCAGTAATCTGAGCTTGTAGGTGGCAGGATATTTGTGCTCAGTGTTTTTTTGTGTGTGGTGTCTTGGTTTTCCTCAAAGTTCCTGTTGCTTACTCTAGGTTAGTAAACAGGCTTGGAGTCTCTCCATTCTGGCTTTATATTTGGAGATTTTTTTTAGTTTTCCTGTTACTTGTTGTACAAATGTATGAATAATTCTGCTTCTTAGGTCCAGCCTGTTTGTGGTGTCGTTTTTGTTTACAGAAATGAGCCATGTCCTTCTTTGTGGTGTGGGTGGAGGAAGAAGAATCCTTTTAAGTTTGGGAATCATTAAATGCTTTCTGTATTTCCTGGCTCTTTCAGAGCCTCATCTGTTTTTGGTATCAGCATGCTTATTGCTGAAGATGCTGACTGGTGTTGTAGAAAATTTTTTGCCTGAGTTTACCTTAGGCAAAAATAAGAGAAGCTTAGGGTTGCACATCCACTTCTTTTTTAGTCCATCAATGCAGGTCGGTTATTGCATAGGATATGATTACAAATCCAAAGTAACCAAGTAACAGCATTATTTAAGTTTTGGTAATACCACATAGTATGGGGAAGACCCTTTCAAACCTTGTGTGCACACTGTTTTTGCACATACGCAGTGAGTTAAGCAGTTAGCAAGCTGCTTAATAAAATTCTTGACAGGTAAGATAGGAATTGTTTGTGACCAGGCATGACCTTAATAGCATAATGCAGTCTGATTAATCTTAGCGTGGTTCAGTAGTACAGAAAAACTGTTAGTGAATTGGGCAGAAGAGAACCAGCTGAACAGATGCTCTTCCTGATTTGAAAGGACCTTGTGGGTCCTTTCAAACTCAGAATACTCTACAGTTCTGTGATTCATAAGGGATGCTACCATCCCATGCCTGTGATTACATGTGAAGTTCATATCGCTGGGCGGCAAAGAGGTCTGTGGACACTGTAGATATTGGCATCAAGTGTGGCAGAATTACCACAGAGCTGAATTTATAACTGTTGAAAATACAAGGGGCTTTCCTCTGAGCTTTAATACTGTAATTGCACTGCTAAGCAATTTTGCACAAAAATACTTGGAGTTCACAGCAGTATAGAAGGTCAATGTAAGATCAAACAACTGTTGTTGCCTGTGGTACCTTTTCCATTAAAAGGAGGAAAAAGAGACTGTTTTTCTTCAAGAAAATTAGGTGTGTTTTAGCAGTTGCTTATGGGAGCCCTTATAGACAGTGGATATTAACTTCTAACAAAGCACGTGTCCCCTCTCCCTCCTATAAGAGGAATGATATTCTTCATGATGCTGAACAGAAGGAGAAAGTCCAAAGTATAGCTGATTCAGCTATCAGTTAACTAAAAATGCCAATGAATGATTTTTGAATAGTTTTTCCATTGTGTCTTTAATTCACTGTAACACAGACTGAAATAGGGATTTTCTTCTCAAAGAGTGAAAAATATCACTTTTCTTTTTTCTTTTTTCTTTTTTTTTTTTTCCTTCAATGAAGGTTTCATTTCCTGCTGCTGTTATAGCAGAGGTTGTGGTAAATGGCTGTCACCATGCTAAGTCATTCTTTTCACATCCTAGGAAGATTGTACTGATAGGTGATTAACAGCTTTCAACTACTGATGTCTGAAACAAGCTTTGCACTCTGAGTCATTAATTATACAGGCAGTGATAATGGATGCTTTGAAATACAGAACAGTGCCTTGTGGAGGGCAGAATGGTGTTTTTCATTTACCCTTTCATGATTTCCAGTCTTTTCCTCTCTTTATGTTTTTGACACACAGTAATGTTTTTGAGCTAGCTTCCAGCCATCAAGCACTAATAAGAGGGTTTGTATGCAACAGCAGACTCACTGGCCATTTAATACCATCCCTTCTCTTTCTGTCCCACTAAGTCCCTGCTCACAAGCAAATAGCAGACTATGAGAAATGCAGTCAACAAGATCTTTTCATTTCATTGTTGATATTGCTAATACAGCCATTCGTACGTAGAAGAGAAGAAATGTAAATGTAAAAGCTATTTTGAAAACATATTTCTCAACGAAGTTCAAAAGACAGCTTTAAAATTGAATACTCCTCTGCTAACTGACCACTTAAGTTGCTAGAGTTCAAGAAAGGTCTGGGCAACTCTGATTTTTGGGTGGTCCTGTGTGGAGGCAGGAGTTGGACTTGATGGTGCTAATGGATCCCTTTCAACATTGGATATTCTGTGATTTCTGCAACCTCTTCTGAGCATAGGGCAGCATACCAGTCATTGCTGGGAAGCCAAGAAAAGCAACAGTTGACAAGAACATAGGAAGAGTAGTGGCTGAATGGCTGCAATTTTTCTCTGTGGAAATTCAGTTTCCTTGGCTAGGATGTAAACCTTTCTGGCAGGACTCATCCATTAAGTTCACATCCATTAAGACACACAGCTTAAATAAATCAGTTTGAAGTGCCATCGTTCTTTCAGTAGTGACACAGCAGTAAAAGTGTTAAGAACAACCATATGAGGTCAGAGTGCCCTGCAAAGCATCCTGCCTCCAACCCTGCCCAGGATATTTGCCACAAGACAGTCTGTGACAATTCACAACTTCCAGGGTCTCTTTTCCCCTCTGCTGAACCCTCCCCGGCGGTCAGCAGTCTTACGGCTTCCTCCAAAGGGTGCCTGATGGTTTTATTCCTGCAGTAACTGCGTTGTTTGTCTTTGTGATGTGTCTTTCTGAGCTGGTTTGTGCCAGCTGGTCTGCTCTGTGCTAAATGATGGAATAAGCTTTTGAATGAATGAAGTTCTTAAAGCACTGGGTCTTAAATGCCATTCTGACTTTTGTACCATCACTACTTTTATTTAATTGATACATTCAATACCATGGTGCTGAGCTGTAGCCACAGCAAAGTCAACAGGCGTGCAAGTGGACTTGGTAAGATCTGCTTAGTTTTCACCTTTATTTGGCAGTGGATTACTGAGAGCTATGTAGTTTTGTAGAGGAGGGCAGAGCTGCCATGAAGTGTCTCACAAAGCACTCAGGGTTGAAGGAATACTCTGTTCTTACAAAAAAAAAAAAACGAACAAAAAACAAACAAACAAAAAAAACCCAGAAGAAGCCAGCTTTGGAGGTTGTCAAGTTCCTGGAATACTATCAAAGCTTGAAGGGAGTACGACAGCGCTGCACTTGCCACCATTAAACTGATACACTAAAGCAACACACAGTTGCTTTGAAGCAATAGACAGTTTTCTATGAAGGTGTGTAGAGTTATTTGATGTATTTGTTGCTTTATAAAGATCCAAACCTTTTCTCATTTCTTATAATTGAAAGATTTTGCTTTGTGTTTGTCATGCAAATGAGAAATCAAGGCCTGCCACCCTTTAAATTTGAGCAGTGTTTTAGAGATTGTCATCCACTTGCAGGTAAAGAGCAATCCTGTCTTGTTGGTTATTTTTAAGTGTGACTTCATGTATTTAGGCTTTATTTTGGGCATAGCTCAAGAGATGATCGAAAAACCAAAGATTAAGTAATTAGACGTGGATGTTTTAATAATTGTTATGATGTTTAGACTTGGTTTTCTGGTATAGTAGTAATAGCAAAGAAAGGCAAGCAGTTACGTGTCACCTTTATCCAGCATCACCAGCATTCTTTATGATCACTGCTGTTCTTGTACTCCTTAATAATAGTCAGTGTTCTGGTAGCACTTAATCAAGCTTTCAAAACGTACTTGATGTGCTTTGTTATTCATTTATTATCAGTAAGGCATTATTATAAGAATTACCTGATAAAATAATCTAGGAGTAATCCTCAACAGAAATGACAATTTTGTCAGTTTTGTGTTATTTCTCTTTTGACACTGCTGCAGGAAAAATAACCAACAAGCAAAGTTAACACACGTTACATGCAAAGTTAACACACAGAAGCAGATCTCTGTTCAGTGCTTAATGAATGTACTTAATCACAGTAGCCTCTGCACAGCTGCACAAGGAGAGGCAGAGCAGATGAACAGAAGGTCCAGGCTCTGTGGGTACAGTCTTAAGCATCTTTCCTTACAGTTCAAGGCTAAGTGAAGCTTTAATTCATCGCTATTCAAGTAAATTTACATAAAACTAAGTTTTCATTCTTTTTTGGGGGGGCAGGAAGGGTGGGGAAGGGTGTGATGGGGATGAGGGTCAGTGTCATCTATTGCTCTTGTTCCAAAAAGATGAGAAGCACAGGCTTCACTTGCATTGGTTGGGTCAGCTCTGGTGTTGAAGAAGCCAGCTGAACGTGGCCTGAGGTTACTCTGACAGCAGGACGGTGACTGTGAAGAAAAGGAGCAGCTCTAACAGATGCAAAGGTGCCCATTTCTCTGAGGTTTGTTTCAACAGATACAGAGCCTCCGAGAATCCAGTGTCCAAGCGTGAAGGAGAAAACTGCGGAGCCCAACAAGTTGACGGCCAGAGTATTCTGGGATACCCCGGAGGGAAGGGACACCGCTGATGGCATTTTGACAGAGTAGGTAGAAATCCATAGATGTCTGTGGGAAATATCCCATACAGACTTGTTGGATGAGTGACTACAGTCTTGGCTGGGGATTACTCATGGAAGAAAAGAAATAGGATGAGCCGTTTCAGTTTTTTCTTGTATAAAGAAATGGAAACTTCACTTTTTGGGGGCATTATGTTATGCTCAGCTACACTATGAACTGTCTTAAAAGTAGCAAGCAGGTCCTGACTGCTCTGCTCCCATTTTGTCAGTGGAACGGGATCTTTTCATTAAAGAGTGGGGCTGGTGGCAGCATGTATGACTGACCTGGTCCCTGCTATGCAGCTTCTTCCTGTGCCTGTGCTTACTCTCATTTTTCAGCCATGTAGAATGGCCAGACAAGCTCAGCGTGCTCCGGACTTCACTCTTTAGGCTTTTACAGTGTTGGAAGTAGGAAAATACCAGTGAATTTATGGATGCCTGTCCCGTTTTATTTCCTGTTTTAGTGTTATTTTGAAAGGCCTGCCACCAGGGTCACATTTTCCAGAAGGCGACCACAAAATCCAGTATACTGTGTATGACAGAGCTGAAAATAAGGGCACTTGCAAATTCCTTGTTAAAGTCAGAGGTAAGAATGATCTTTTACACTACAAACACAGTTACTGATATGTACCTGGCCTAGTAGGCAGTTTTAGAAATGTCCCTATCTCTGTAATTGTCTGTGCCTATGCACACAAACATCTATTTAAAATTTATATTGACTATGCAACTTAGTGTACCATCTTGCTTGAGTCCCTGATGGCCAGACCCACAGCAGGGTGTGCACCTGGCATGCTGCAAGTCAAGAAGAGGCTCTAGTGATCCACCCTCCTCCATACTGTTGAAAATGTCAACTGCTGAATCAAGTAGCTGAAGGAGTTTTTCAGCTGTGCCTCCCATCTGTCAAGAAAAGTTACCTTTTCACAAGTCCAGGTCTTGAAATCTGCAATTGAATCTGTGAACATGATGAGATCTCTTTGTGCCCCTATGGCCATTTGTTACCATTTACCACTGTGACATACACACACCTCGATATCTGCATCCTTTCAGTTTACATATGATACTAAGAAGAGCTTTTATTTGGTCAGTCTTATTACATACTTGACTTTCATAATAGAGACAGCAAAAATAAAAAATACCTTCCATATTGGTATTCTGTTAGCTATGATTTGTGCCCTGCCATTTTTTTTCCCCTCCATATCTTGTCTTTCTTAAAGTCAGGCGCTGTGTGAAGTTAAATGCTCCAGATAATGGCTACATCAAGTGTTCAGGTGATGGAAATAACTATGGTGCTATGTGTGAATTTTCCTGCATTGGAGGCTATGAGCTACAAGGCAGCCCAGCTAGAGTGTGCCAGTACAATTTGGGGTGGTCAGGAGTGGAGCCAACCTGTGCACGTAAGTGAGTATTTTGCTACTTTACTGAAAGGGCTATGATGGTTCTCACAGAAGTGAGAATTGGAGAAGAGGGTTGGGATCAAACACAACTACAAACTTTAATGCCACGCAGATAAAAAAAACATCTTAATGTTTCTTGCCAATTCACCCTTAGATCTGAAGCATGTGCCACCTTTGGCTGTTCTGTTCCTGGAATAATGATGGTGCCTTACAACTGATAGTGTGTTTCAGCCTAGGTCTTTATACAGAACTTCACCTACTGCAGTCAAACCATTTTGTAAGCCAGATTACAGCTTCAGATAAAATAGTTGGCTTCAACGAGGCCGTTTCAGCCGTTTCTTCTTTATTATTCTCTTGTTCCTGTGTTTCTGGTATCTGACACTTGTTCATCCTTTTAGAAATAGTTCTGGTTTTAGTATTCTCTGTAACTTCTCTTTTAAATTTCATTCTAGCCATGAATATTAATGTGAATGTGAGGACTGCAGCTGCACTTCTGGATCAATTTTATGAGAAGCGGAGACTGCTAATTATTTCAACTCCTACTGCAGCCAACTTCTTCTACAGGATGCAGTTGGGAATGCTGCAGGTAAAATGCAGTCCAGGGTGGGTTGCAGGGGGTTGTAGCTATTTTTTTTCTTTAGACACATGATAGGATAAGCTCTGCTGTTGATATAAACCAGCAAACATCAGCTACTATGTTTTGAACAGTAGAGGATTTTGCAGAAGTGGTAGTGCTTCTGGATTAATCCTTTTTATGTGTGCCTGAGCTCCCTGTTTTCCACTTCAACTCTATTCTGGACTGTACTGCCACTGACTGACTAGTTACTCAATCCAGGCAGTTTTGAGTCTTTTCCATCCTCTCAACATTAATTAATATGAAACCTGTAATCTAATAGTCATTCCCTCATTCACTTCATAAAGGAGTTAAGAAGAAACATCCAGCGCTTCAGAGTTACAGTTCATGCAAACCAGGCTGATGGGGTCTGTAATTGCAGTGTGAAGAAAAGTGACAAGCTCTAGAAATAACTTGTGTACTGCAGACAGGGGACCAGAGGCTCAGCATAAATAAAAATCACCCAGAATGCTGAAGATACCACTGTGGTATTTTGTAACAAAAAAAGAAAAAAAGACTGGCACTTGTTTTTCTTATATAAATATTTCTATAATATTTCTACTTGGGTTATTGCTAGATTAAATACACCTCAGCTCAGAAATGTATGTGTGTCCGCAGGGAGAGCAGCCAGTTCTGTATTCTTTCATAGTGGCAAATGCTTTGTTTCTGTTCCCACAACTGGAACAAAAGTCAGAATGAACAGTCATTTCAATATGAGTGTGATAACATTTCTAACCGCAGGCTTAAAGAAGTAAGTTGTGTTAAAAACAAAATGAGAAGGTTTTGTGTTTGTTTTTTTTTTTTTCTTTCCCCACAGAAGATTGTCTGGGAAAGAAAATAAAATATTTTGATTGAAATGATGTAGTTTAAAATACTAATTTTACTGGCAATATTACTCTTCCGTTGCTTGGAAAAACAAGTTGACATACTTAGTCAAGTTTTCTTCCATTTCATGTACTTTGCTTCACTTGCCCCATTAGATTACTGGCACAATACTTAACAAATTGGCATCTTTTAATGTCATTCAACACAAGTTTACATTTCTCCTAGGTGCTCTCTGTGTCGTGGTTGTGTTAGAATCCTTCATCTAATAGCCCCTGGACTCATTTCAGCTTAAACCATCTCACTAACTTGAGCAGTTCAGATTCTGTGTGAACACTCACAGCACATGCCAAACAGCCAACTGCATTCCCTCTGATGGCTAACCTACCTCTTTCCTTCTTTCAACTCTTCCAGCCAGCACAGTGTGGCTTAGACCTCCGACATGTTACTGTGGTTGAGTTGGTTGGTATCTTCCCAGCACAGATAGGAAGAATAGGTGTAAAGCTGCTGCCCCCTTCACTTGCACTGCAACTCAGGTAAAGTAAGGTTTGTCTACTGTTATGTGTGCTATAGCATATACAATATATTGTTTTTGAATTCCTGCATTTTATTATCTAAATAGGCATCTTTACTGTACCGAGCTAGGATCATAAGTAGATGTTCATGAATAAGTTTCAATACTTACTCTCTTTTAACTTGTAAGAGCTAAAACAAATTGCTGGGCATTTGTGATTTATGAAATTAAGGGTATGTTTCATATTTAAACATGCTATGGATCAGCTGGCTCAAGTGCTGTGTCTTTCTTGCCTTTTTGTTCCATGAATGATGCTCCTTCAGGTGAGCTCTCTGTGTATCCCTTTATGTATCCCTTTATCGTAGAATCACAGAATGGTTTGGTCTGGAAGGGACCTCAAAGCCCACCCATTCCAACCCCTGCTGGGGGCAGGGCTGCCCCCCACCAGCTCAGGCTGCTCAGGGCCCAATCCAACCTGGCCTTGAACATCTCCAGGGATGGAAGGATGTTATGCCTTTATGTTTTTGGGTACTGTCACTGGAAAACACTGATTACAAACACATTTGTATTGTGCTGGAATTGGGCTGATGCAGTTCCAGCCACCTGCAGTCGCTTGGCAAGGACAGCCCCAGGCAGGATCACCAGCCCCTCATCTCTGCAGTACTGCTTGAGGCTGTGGTCAGGCCAGAAGGTAAACAGTGGGTGCTCTTTGAAGTCCCCTGTACAGTCCCGTGTGATATGTACAGGATTTCAGAGGACAAATGATCTTAGCCTCCTCAGCCTGACAGACATTCATCAATTTTACTGAGGTGTCTGAACTGTTTTGACTTGGTTTTGAACTGGCAGGGAGTTGGTTCTCACTTGAAAGGGAGATTTCAAGTGTCAGCACTACCTAGGGATGGGAAGACTCCAAGTGCTAAAAGTGAAGGCCTATTTGGCAGGGTAAGTGCTAGTAATTTAAGGAAAGAAGTCCAGGAGCATTTTAGGCAGCATTTTCTGTGCTATACCTGAGAAAATGGTGTGAGTTCTAACTGGGGACAAGAAAAAATGTTCTTTTTTCAGTCTTCTGACAAGTCTGAAAGGTTTTTTGAATTGGGAAGAAAAAGAAAAAAAAAAAGTATTTCTTCCCCATAAAAGAAAGAGCCAGCTTCTTTTTCCTTAAAACAAAAAACAAACCAAAAAACATCACACCTTATATAATAGTTAGATTGAAGTTGAAGACATTTTCTTGTGGCTCTGTACAAAATAAGCTCTGGTAACACTCCTGTTCCTGCCCCATTGTGCTGCCCACCTCAACCTTCAATTTCAGAAACTGACACAATTTACAACCTGATCTCCACTCGGTGGAAGTTAGTGTTCAATTTGATTTTTGTTCTAGACTCTGATGCTACCAGAGCATGAGATAGCATTCCAGTCCAAGAAATCACTTAATCCAAATGAAACACACCCTTAAGAATCTTGAATATAGATGCTGTCCAGCATTAGCACTCAGTAAAATAACCAGTCACAACTACCCTGGTTAAGACTTTGCCAAACTCAGAAGGATTAGCATTTGCAGAGGGTAAGCACTTTCCTTAAGAAACCACAGTCCTTATCTCCCTTATCACCACAACTTAGCTTCAAAAACGATTTTAGTTTCAGAGCAATAGATTATAGGGTAGTGAAAGGCACAAAAGGTCAGGTTCTATGATTCACAACCTTACTGCCATCCAGTGCCCTACAGACCCTCCTTGTCCTGACCTCATTCCTTCACAGATGCCTTTCTCCACAGCAGTGGCATTGACTGTCTGCATGACTGAGGAGCTTAAATGACTCATTTTTACCACTGTGAAGGAAAGGGATCTGGCCTGATTAGTGCTGGCTTTTGATTTCCTAAATTGGAGCTACCAGCAGGTAAATTAGTTACTAGCAGAAAGCAACAAAAACTGACTTAAGTCATTTTGTTCTGCTTTTTCGCATCATGGTTTTGTACTGCATGGCAGCAAAGAAACAGAATTGTCTACCTGTAACTCTTAAGCTCCATCACCATCATAGAATCATACCATAGAATTATAGAATGGTTTGGGTTGTTTGGTTGTTTTTTTTTTTTTTAAGTCAATATCTGTATACTAATACTGAAAATACTCTTCTGTCTTGTTTCCTGTTGCCCTTGGGATAGGCTGTTGTTGAGGATCCCTCATTATAATTTCAACATTGTGGTGATGGACAAGCATGGAATGGACAAGGAACGCTACCCATTCCCAGCAACACCAGCTGAGCTCTTTGCACTTATTGACAATTTTCCCTTGAGAAAAGAAGAGATGAAACTGCAAGCAGAAATCGGCCAGTCATGTCCTTAATTCAGAATTACAGGGCTAGCATTTTGTCAGTGAATTTTTTACCCAGATAATTCTTCCCTCGGTGCTACAGAAAGCATGGCTTTTTAATCACTGATGTACAGAGTTGTTGTGTGTATCATTATGTCTGTGTAGCTGCTCTGCATGGGCGTATGCATGATGCTTTTTTATACTTTCAAAGAGTATCTTTAGAGAAATGTGTACGTAGGATTACTACCCAATAGAACTTCTTGTACAGACATCAAAGAATTGAGGTACGTCTCCTGGGGTTTATTTTGGATTTTTCATTCAGTGTAAAATTCTTTCTTCCGTTTTATAAGTCTTTTATTAATAAAATATTGTTTTGCAAAGAAATAGTGCTCTAGAAGTCCTCTTAGCTATAATGTTTAGAGATTAACGTAGAAGTTGGATCAACAATTTAAATCAGAGGTCAATGTCTGTGCTACGAGTGCACAGCAACCCAGCAGTGTCTTTCAGTAGAAAGCTGCAAAAGACCTCTAGGACCATCTATCCAGTCTAACCATCACTAACCATATCCCTCAGTGCCACATCCACACGGCTCTTGAACACCTCCAGGGATGGTGACTCCACCACCTCCTTGGGCAGCCTGTGCCACTGTCCCTCTGCTCCTCCTGAGAAGTTCTCACTAATAACCAACCAGAACTTCTCCTGGCACAACTTGAGGCCATTCCCTCTCATCCTATCGCTGTCACCTGGGAGAAGAGGCCAACACTCACCTCACCACATCCTCCTTTCACGTGGTTCTAGAGAGCAGTAAGCTCTCCCCTGAGCCTCCTCTTCTCCAGACCAAACTATCCCAGTCCCCCCAGCCACTCCCCATAAGACTTGTGTGTTATGTCAGATCCATTATAATAAGGTCCATCACAGACACAAAGCATAAGCCAAAGGCAACACAAGTAACTGATTCTAGCAGAACCAGAAGAAAACAGCTCATGGCAGGTATACAGGAGTCATACCCCGGAGGAATTTGATAACAGAACAGCAAGCAACATAGAAAATGGGTGATAATTACTAAAGGCCATATGCTCGATAGAAAGACATGCTCTTACCTTGTGTTTCATGTCCAGTGAGGTGGAGTAATAGATTCCTTTCCCTTTTCATCCCAGAGATAGCTCAGTGGAACATTCCCCACAGGGAAACTTCATTAAGGATTCATCATCTCCAGGTCTGTGAAAATAGTTCTTTGCAACTCATCATTTAACAATAACAAAAAAATTAAAAAAAAAAAAATCACTGCTTAATGAAAACTGTTAGGAGGCAATAAAAAAAAAGATAAAGTTCTCCGGTGTTTTTTTGAAATCCACAATCTTGCACATCCTCTGCAAAGAATCTGTACTGTGCACGAAGAATACAAATCCAAAAGGAGTGAAAAGTGTTGAAAAGTATGAATTACAGCTTCGGACATTTGCTTAAAGTGTCAGGTGGGTAATCCCTCACCACTGAACAGCATTTCAGTGCCTGTGCTGCTCATTCAAAGCGTGGCCCTTTTTGTTTCAGATAAATGCTTGTTTAACTGTAAAGCGAAGTGTTCATTTTGACAGTTGCTAGCAAAAACTAACAGAATAATGAAGTGCAGGAGCACTGAAGTGAGTGGAGAAGATGGGCAGCTTCTGAGATGGTGAGGAGCCTTACCAAAAACCCAAGAGCAGGCATGAAAGCATAGCATAGCCAAGGTAAAGACCGACCTCAGAGCTGATGCCGAAGGCAGAGAAGATTCAGATGCACTCTGCAGGGGGTACTGCCAGGTTTGTGAGGATGGGCACTTGGAGGAGCAGGAAGCCTTCCTCTGAATGAGCTGTACAAGTGTTTCCAAGATGCAAGGGTGACAAAATCACAGAAATAAACAGCATTTCTGTTCCAAACCTACCCAGACCAAAAACTCATCCTTAATCAACTATAAAAGGAGCAAGGTGGCTATGAACCAACATGCTTATGGATACAGCTGTTTCTTTTCTTGTTTGAAGAACACTGATGGTTAAAGAAATGAAGACGCAGCATGCCAAATCACTTCATGCCTTAAGTGGCACCTGCAGAACAGCCAGCACGAGGACAGATCTATGTACACTGCTATGGCCATTGGTGCTTCAGCACATGCATGTGCGTAACATGAATGCACAGGTGGACAGGTCATTTCACCAGCCTTTTTACTCAGTCAAAAAGCACATCAGTGTTTTCCAGTGATTTTTTTCAAACAAATAATAAATACAAGGGTCTACTGAGTCTGATTGTTCTATTTCTGCAGTTCCAATCTGTTGCTGCTCCATTTTAGGTGCAGAATTGGTGCATGCAGCCATCTTTCACATCTGGGTGAATAAAAGTGGGGCTTGATGATTGCTGCAGCCAGAAAAGTGATTGCAATCACCAGTCCTCTAAAGGAAATTGAATTAAGTGGATGGAAGTGCATGAGTGATTGGATTACCAGTTATAGTTCTACACAGAACATCTGCTAAAGTCCTATGATTAGCAAAAGCTGCTCTTGATTAAATACACAAGCTTTCTGGCATTTTCTGTGGAACATTTTTGTGGGGAGGAATGGGAGACTGACAAACCTCACATGCCATCTCTGACCTGGAGTCAGATCAGCGTGCAGGTATGGACCGCAGGTATGAGGCAGATCTGCCTTTTGGAGAAGAATGAACGAATGAAGATTTTGTATACTGGTTTTAGCCCAGCATTTGTATGTCCAAACACATTCTAAATATTCAAATATATTCCAGTAAGCTTTGGTTCTAGAAAAAAATCATGTTGTGTAAGCAAGGTGCAGTACCTATACCATTCCACTTTTGAAAAATAAAAGATGATTAAAAAACGTTTCAGATAGAATTTACTTACCTCCCTCACAATCGTGCAGGCTGGACTCTTTCCTTTAACTTCCATCATGGCTCTTCTTAGCATAGATGCTAATCCTACCAACCACTGCTGTCAAAATGCAAATCCTGTTAAAAGCACAAATTGGGTGGAGAGGATTAGAGGCAGCACAACCAAGGAGCACAACCTGCAGTGAGTCTCCTTTCCTCTCCTGCTCCAGAACTGACAGACCAATGTGGGCACCCAGCCAGGGGCTGGAGGCATCTGCATCAGTCTGGAGATAACATCTTGGTTTTGAATGTTATTTCAACAAGCAAAAAGCTTCCATCATTTTAGAACGGAAAATAATTCACGTTTCTACCAGGTGACATCTTTTGCAACAAGACTGCTGCGATTTTTCAGGAGCCCCAAACAATTCTCTGCATGGTCTGTAGGTTTCCCCCAAACCTACACAAGAATCTACGTGTTTAATGAGAACACTCCCTGCCATCACACACCTCATAATCACCTCCATCTGCAGGGGGAGAGACAAAAGTTGCATGTTCCCTTTTTTTGAAGTTCAGATCATCCCTTCTAGGAAACTCTGATGACAGCGCTCCTGACCTTGGCAGCTCCATCCTGAATGACTGCAGTGTGGTGTTTTATACTCAGTACTCAGTATTGAGTATTTCAGTGCTCAGTACTTACCCAAGAGCCTGTCATAATTAATGACAACAAAGGTAACAAACCTGGGAAACTGGTACACTCAGAGGAGGTGAAGAGACCTCAGCACTCAGTGGTTAAGTTGAAGTGAGTGTGACTCAGTTCCAAATATGAGTTGGAGAGAATAAAAGGGGTTTTGTGCTTTTTATCTTTAAAAATCCAGACCACCAATTACAGAGAAGTTGTGTTTTGAACGTACCTGGATTTTACAGTCAGGCAGCACCTTGAGCTAGAGGTCAGGGAAGAGATCTGGAGACGGAGGGGAGGAACTGAATGCAGTGTTAAGGCACAGAAAAAATAACCCTCTAGCAGAGGAGAAAAGATCAGTGCATTTCCTAGTTTCTTAGATACAAAATTGGTGCAATGCATGTGAAACAAAAATCAGCATTAAAAATATGTAATCTGTAGAACAGAAGACAAAAACAGAGAGAAAGACTATCAGTGCAGTCCCACCTCTAGATTACTTCATTTATAGGCAGTGAATAATGAGTTTGCCTCAGAGAGATAACTGGATATCCCTAAAAGACATTTTAATAGTTCACTATAATGCATTTTAGAAGAGACAGGGACACAGACAACGTTCCATAATTTTAATTTTAAAAAACAGAACAATATTCTTGACAACTGCTGCAAATGTATTACCAGCCACTTTTCTCCACAAAACTGAATATACAGTGCACAGTACAAAAATGTTCTGGGCAGGAAATGCTTCATCTAAACTTGGGCAGAACTTAACATACTGCAGTGCCACTTACTGCTACTACTGTTAATATCCAGCAGAATAACCAAACAAACAACGTGCAATAGATTTTTAATCAGAACAAAGGTGGCAAGAGGGGCATGTAGCATTCTCAATTCACTGCATTGAAGGACTACATTTGGCCTTAAGCAAACCCCAGCAATTACAGCAACCCTCAAAAATACACAGCCAGCTTTCAAGAGCAGTAGTGCAAAGCTGTAGGTAGGTTGTTGCCACAGAGTAGAATTGTTGAAATAGTGATCCTACATAAATGGCCATGATGCAGCAAGGGTGAGTCTCAAAAGCAACCTAAGGAACATCTATAGAAGCATGTTGAGATTCCCTTTCCAGTGTCAACATACACAGTATAATTAACAGTCTTATTATCACTTATCAAACAGCATCTGCAAATATGAAATCACCAGGCAGGAAATTCACAGCATGTAGTGGTAAGGCTCTACAAGCATGATTCAGTGCCTCATACTTAAGGTTAAGGTAAGAAACATCTCTGCAAATAAAAGTCTGCATCCAATTTTGGATTTAATCACATGTTCTTACCATCATTTCTCTTAAGGTCCTCTAACGTTCTTATTTCTACATGTAACAATAAATAAATAATATCCATCTTCAAAAACTGTATCAAAAGAAAAAAAGAGTTTACAAAGTGCACATACCATCTTTCAAGAGACAGCTATTTCTGCCATTGCTGAAAATCAATACTGTATGTTAGGAAAGGGCAATTTCAGTTTTTACCTCACCTAGCCACCATAAGCTACTCCTTAACTACTGCACACTGCCTCCTTCTGGGTACCAGAGATTTGAGGTGTTGAAGGTGTTGAGGTGGAACATGGGGTCACAGTTGGACAAACTTGACAAAAACTTGAACAGTTTCCTGGTGGGGGCTGCTGAACTGAAGGGAAGGATGGATGGAAGAGATCCTGCAATGATTCAGGTATAATCCTTACTGTCCTGTGTGAAACAACAGACTAGACAGTTATAGAAATAAGACTCAGACTTTATATTCATTGACTCTAGAGCAAATCAAAAGCTTTACGTGCCTGAAGTTGGCCAACCCCTTGTAAAGCCAGAACAATGCCAGTCTCTATGCCTCCCTCATGTTACCCCATCAGTTAGCACCAGTGGATGCTCAGTGGCTGCTCTGCTGCTGCAATTTAGTTCACATTTTGCAGAATACATCTTTGTCTACTTGTACCTCACAGGGCCTAACCAGGAGGGAAAAGAAAAATCAAGCACAATACTTCCAAATGCTTATTTTCCATCTCTGGAGGTATTGAAGAGACGTGAATGTGGCACAAAGGGACATGGTTTAGTGATGTGACTCAGCAGATTCAGCTAATGTTTGGACAGTCTTTGAAGGTCTTTTTCAACCTCCATGATTCTATGGATTTCTTTTATGCTACTCTAGCAAAATCTCTACTGGAGGAGACAAAGAACATTAAGTTTCCAGTCTAATGCATTGTGATCAAAGCATACTCACCATCCCCATTGCCTTCTCTCTTAAACCAACTGCTGAGCATTCAGCTGGGAGAGAAATGTTAAAATGTGTTATCTAAATGGCATTTAAGGTAGGCAATGGCACTTGGATTAGAACAGGAAGATAGTAATGTGACGGAGATGGAGGAGAAAGAGAGGCCATCTGAACTGGTTTTAGCATCTAAACATGCAAGCAAGATCACTGACTTTTAGAAGCCTGAAGTCCCTATGTAACTAACAAGTTGAGCAGAGAAACATCCAGAGAACAGGTTTGGATAATGAAGTCCGTTGGCAGGGCTTGGACAGCCCTCAGCATCAGCTCTTCCTGATAGATACTGGCAATAACCACACTACCTAGGGATGCATTTACTGTCTTCACATGAAATTTTACAGCCCAAGTTGTACTTCTATTTTGCCTTAATGGGTCAAATTTTGCCATCAGAATCAAGTATCGAGGGGGGAAAGACAGTGATGAAAACCTTGTAGTTACACCACTAGTAGAATCATGTTTCATATCTACAAAAAACACTGTAGTGAAAATCTCTTCTCCACTGAAGCATCTTTAGTCATTCAAGTCTGCATGGAGAAATATTTTTAAAACATCAGCTCTCCTGTGTCTGATTAATCAAGATAAAAGTTAGCGAATCAGTGTTAAAACTGACTCTGTTTTCCTAAAAGTTGGTCTTAGATAAACCATCCATGCACTTCAATATCACAAACATTTATACATATAGAATGCTTTAGCCTGGCTCCTGGCTTTCTCTATTTCTGCTCAGCCTAGTAAAGCTGAGGTACGTGATGACACACAGTCACAGGCTATTTGCTCCAATATCTCAGAAACAAGAAATCACATCTGCAGTTAATCATCTCGTGCTTTATCCAAACCACAAATCATTTTTTGCAAAAGAAGAGAAAGAGGATATAACAGCGATAATTAAATGTGACATTTTCCACAAATAAATGCTTTCTACAAACCTGTCGTTAACATCACAGAACAGCCAAATTGCTCCAATGTCTATACTAATGACTGTCATCTCTCTGAGGCTCGTTTGAAGCAGAGCACGATATGCCCTGTATGCTACCATCATGCACAATCATCACTGCTAACCTAGGTGATAATTTCACTGCACTACTCCAAATCCCATCAATGGCCAACAACACTCTCTGCCTTGGCTGAATTAAATTCCCACTTGAAATTGTTCCCTTCATACACTGAACTGCAGTTGACACCTAGAGACTATTCATAGCCTGGCCTATGTTTTCAGATGCAGGCTCAGAGTAAAATTTTGTCCCTTCCAAAAGCTATAGGACACACGTGACACTTTCCAGATGAGTCTATTTATCTCATACTCTAACACAGGCCCTAAAAATGGGAGGGAAGTTGGTAGAAGCTGAAGTAGTAAAACATAGACTTCCATTCAAAGCAAGACTAGATTTAGATACAGTGCTAACACTTACTTAGAAAATACCATTCAAAATTATATAAATGCTTACACTCCATCTTATATTCCATTTTAAGTAAAAGACTTAGCTCAGTTTCCAATTATTTTAGGATTTTCAATTTGGTGAGAGAAAAAGGTTTCAATTTTGGGGTTCATCTTGGTAGATTTTTTGTGTCACTGTTTTCCTATTTCCGACACCAAAATGAAACAGAAACAACTCCATCAGTCTGCCCACTGTCCCCTCCACTAACCCTACCTGCAATTTTATCCTGAAGAATCATTAGATTTAAAAAGATTTATCTTCTTAAGCCAACTTCCAGCAAATGAAAAATCAAACTTGTGCTCCTACATCAGCTGGCTTGTGGAGCAGTAAACAGAAGGCAGTTTTGGTGCCAAAGGTAAGGTTTTACTTCCCTTTGAGGATGTAGATTAAAAATAAAAATTTAAAAAAAAAAATCAATCTAATTTTGAAAAGAAGACTATAATGATAAAAGGAAGATCATAATAAAATGTGTGTGCTTGATATTTGTGCTCTACTTTATCAGCTCGCAGCACCTGCTGCCTAAGATGAAAAGCAGATTAAACCTGCACTGAGCTTGCTTCACTGCCCAGTTTGAGCAGGACTGCCGAAGGAAATGAAGAACAGCTGAAGAAGGAAAATGAAGCTGGTTTTCTTGAACAAGCTTCATGAAAACATCGACATTTGATTCCCAACATGGAATTCTTAAATGCAAACTCCGTTTTTAAAGATGACTCAGTAATTTCTGAAAACTAGGGGTCTTAAGCTGAGAAAAGGTATTACTTCCAATGACTGCTTAAATTCACATCAGAATTTTAATAGAAAATACATATCATCAGATTGCTTTCTATTAAAACTGAGATTCTGTTTTTAACAAAAAAACATAAAAACAAATCCAAATAAAGTATTAGTATTTTTCAAGACTTCTTGCAAGCTGCCCTGCAGTTTCAAGCCCCTCAAAACCAGTATAATTTTTCTCGGGGCGTTGGTGGGGTGGGAAGATGGAGCAGCAGGAAGGAATAGACGTAAATGGAATGGAGTAGAAGTTCAGGTTTTGGATTTACCTCAAAAAAAACACTTAGGTGACTAACACCAGCACTGCTACAGATGAAAAAAATTTAACCTACACTTAGCTATCAGTTTTCCATTCAGTTCAATCTAGATTTCCTGCACCTTTTACTCTGCGAGGAACAGCATTTCCTTCTCTATCACCAATTAGATTGTATGGCCTTCTGCACAGAAATCTTTGAATACTGGTGCTTTGACCTGCAGGGAAAGATACATCCTCTGAAAGCCTTTTTTTTCCCCTACATACTTAATGTAAGGATTATGTTTCCCAATATTCAAATTGTTTCCTTAGTACTAATATGACACTGCTTCCAAAATAAGGTATTGGGGAAAAATACATAAGAAATGTACTTATAGACTGGATCAAATGGGAAGCTATGATCCAATTCTGAGATTCAAATGAAATGTTGTTTATTCAACTTGTCTTCCTCTGTTTCACACCCTGAGCAATTACAAGCCATGCAATTATATTAATATCCAATCTTGCAAACAGACATTTTTTGTCCTTGGAAAAGACATTCTATCTTATTATGTTACTACTACTATTTGCAATGCTGTGCTAGCCCACAGTGATACAAAACAGCATCTCTTCACATACAACCTTGCAAGTCCCCAAAGCACGGCAGACCTAAGCAGTTATAAAGATCACTTTAGGAAACCAAATGGCAAATGCTTGTGGTTAGTAAGATTAATGACTGAATCAGCCAAAATCCACGCTTATTAAATCTACTGCTAACTTATGGAGGACAGTTGAGGAGAAAAATCCAAAAATCCCTCTCTGTTTAACAAGTAACACGCACAGGCAAACTTGAACAGGATCCCATTCTGAAAAAATTCCACAGTTGTGCAAAGCATTCTGGAATATGCATTAATCCTGTTACTTTACTACACACCCTGCTGAGCCAAGATCTTAGCTATGCCCCAAACCAGAATGTGTCTCAACTCACTGACTCATCAAGTGGGATAGGCATGTAATTCCTTCTATTCAATGACACTGAAAGATCTTAGATAGAGCCGTCAACTGAAATGAAAAACGTGGTAATACCACACAGTTCTGGAAATTCTTTAGGATTTGTTATGATTTATTTTCATTAGAGACTCTTTGACCACACTGAGCCAAGTCTACCTCTTATACAGTGCACTAAATAACCAAGAGAATGCCTGAACACGGGCACTTCAGACTCCTTCATCTGCTGACTCTTTCCATTGTGCAGCTGGCTGTGAATTGGCTTTAGTGAGCTACTTGGTTCCATGCCTGCCATCCCGCACAGCGCACAGCCCAATGAGCAAACATAAAAAATAAATGTTAGTCTTCTGAACATTATGGCTTCTTGTCTTTCAAATAACAAAGCACAGATTCATTCGGAATCTGAATGTACTGAATCACTCTTGTCTTCTAGGCCATCTTTGACCCAAAAGGAGATATGTAAAACACACTTTACATCCTAAATGGCTACTCAGAGAATTTGCTTGCTCCACGTCCCCTGCCAGCAATATCCATCAGCTGTATACCACCAGCCACCACAAGGGACAAAGAAAGCCAGTCCAATCTCTGTAGGAAGTCACATTCTCAGAGGTTACAGGAGAAACATAATCTGTTCAAGAAGTCTGGGTTAAAAATGAGTGCATGAAAGTGCAGAATGCATTAAAATTTCACATAAAGCCTTAATATCCAAGGCAAAGAGTACAACCCTTACCCATTTTCAAATGGGCAAAGTGACAAGAGCTGAACACAACTGAAATGAGAAGGACTTGTGCTACCCCTCAGTAGTAGAGAGTCTTTTAGAGTCTACGTTTTCCCATGCTGGATCTCAACATTAATATCCCCTCCACAGAAGTTCCAGGACTGTCAATCATCTTCTGCCAGAGAAGCTGCTCTTCTCCTTGAGAGTCCATCCAGTCAACCTCTTTGCCATTACTTATGCCTGGAAATTGCAAAAACATCACGCATTTTTGCACTATTAGTAAGCAGTTACTTAACATCACTGTTCATTCACTCCAACAGCCTACAGAAAGATGACAAGCACTTTATATTACTGCCTGTGTAGGGAGCTGCTTCTGGATAGCACCAGTTTGAAGTGCAACTGGGCTCCATGTTTTTGTGTCTCACCCAATGAAGGAAAGAACTAAATCATCAGTGGATGACATATTGCCTCCTCTCCCCTTCCAGTTTCCCAAAACTTCTGTATATTTTTCATACACTCAATAACATTTCTACACCTCAATACATATGAATCACTTAGGGTGGTAAAGAAGGACAGCAGAATAAGGAAAGCAATCATCAGTAAGATGGGACCTTACCACTTCCAGTACTCAAACGAACTCCTCCCAGAAAAATATTACTGGAAAGTGACTCCTTGTCCCACACAGTCAATTCTAAGCAGACATTATGTATATCCCATACATTCAAGCCACTGAAAGCAAATGTATGATTCCACTGGGGGTTCACATTCTTCTTTATTATGGGAGTCTTGTGTTTTGTAGCTTTGTTGTCATCTGGGAGCAGGTACCTGAGAGACAGAGAAAAGGAAAGCTCAAGATGTAATAGGATGTCCCACAATATTCATAAAGAATTAGAATCACACATGGCTTGAATAATGTCAGAGACCCATTTCCCACTGTAATTAAATTAAGTATACACATTTGTGCACCATTTGCTGCTCTTACAGTTACAATTTCAGTTATCACAATCAGAAAATGAAATCTAGTCTCCTTGTCCCATGCCTTTTATTTTTGTTCTATATAAAAATAATTTTTATTTCCACGTGACTACATACAGTCATTAAAACGTTGACTAGAAAGGGAGGATGGACAAGGCAGCTTCACAGCAGCCCTCCCAAAGCAGAAAAGAAGGTCTTCTCAAACGAAACAGAAATGACTGACAAAGAAGGAACTCCAGAAGTTTATCACCTATACCTATGTGGTCTTACTGAGAGAAGAAACATCAATACTGTGAAGTCTGAAATGCATTTCACATTTTATTTTTAGTGAAGAATTTCTTTAGTGAAACAAGCAGTGCAGATCAGACTACTGCAGTACATCTACTAGTTCATGGCAACTTGACATGACAGACGACCAGTCAATAGTGCAAGGTAAACAGAGGCCAGTTCCACCACGCTGAATGATCCATGTCAGCAAGAGCTGACACCACTAACTAAGAATACATCACAGAATCCTTGGCCACACTTTGCTACTGCTAATGTAAAATAACTTTGACAATATTTTCTCTTTGGGATCTGCTGCAGGCTCCAAGCTGAATCAAGCCATAATGGGATCAAGCAGTCTATTTTTCAGTAAAAGGAACTATATCAGGAAAACAGATGGCATGGAAGAACAAATGCTTATGAAGAATAGCTCAAACTTTTTCAATACGAAGTATATGAGCTTAGTGAAAGTTCAAATCAGACTGACAGATCAAGAGAAATTCTCAGCTCTTCCAAGGGCAGGATTTTTTTGTGCAGACATTTGAAGAAACAAGACTCAAATAATCACTAGTGAACTATACATCTAAAATTTAGCAATTCTGAAAGCTACCACTGAGAGCAAAAACCAGGAAAGAAAAATGTTTTAAGCGATCCGTTATTTCTGTAGTTGATTGAAAATCCAGTATAATGAGACCTGTATAATGAGACATTATACTCATTTTATTCAATTACAAGTACACCTTGTATGTAGCATTTTCCATATAGTCTGACCGCCCACCAAAAATACTGCTTATGGAATTAAAAGGTCGCCTTGAGCATAATGTCTGCTATTTATTTCCATGGAAATTACAACAAAGAGTACAATAATGCTATGTGATAGAGCAAATTCTCAGCTCCTCTCTTAAAAGTATTTGTCTCAATTTGCTGGAAATGCAAAGGTCACTGTTAGATCAGGTATCATGTCCAGTGTATGAACCTCACTTTCCATGTTCTTACCTCCAAGAGTGATGAAAGTTCCCCTACCTCCCTCTGCTGACTCAAAGGAAGTGCTTTATTTCACCAAACTTTACGTTCTTTGCTCTTTAACAATGTGCACATGAGGACAGTGAATATACTTTAATGTAGTGAGTGATACAGGTTACATACTGTTTCTTGACTGAGTCTAGATCGGCTGGTAGTTAAGCACTGGGACAACTGAGACCTCCCTGTCCTTATCCAACAGCATCCTCCACCATCCCATTTCAAAGTGGCAGCTGCTTTTCAGTATTGACTTTACATACACACTTACATAGATACACTGGGGGAAAAAAATGGTGAAAGAACTATGCAGTGCAGCCATTAAATAACAGGTCAGAAAATGCTACTGACCCTTTCACAAATGTGTCTGATGTGCCTCCTGATTTCACTGCTGTTAAATTCTTAGCTTCTTTGATGACGACTTCTAATATACCTCCAGTGGGCGGGTGGTTCTCTCCCTTTTTTCCTTTCTTAAAGCTCTTCTTTCCTACATACACGAAAGAGTTGCAATATTGTCATCAGCAGAAACCATACACTACAAAACTGATTTGGAAACTTAAGTTCTCATGGCTGGATTCTTTTACTCATTTCCTTCAATGGGATTAAAGGATTTCTTATAGCAGATTCTGATTCTCTAAGGGTATTGAAACTGAAAAGTCAGGGGCAGTGTGTTGTATGTGAGAGGGGCCTTCATGAATTTAATTATTTGTGGATCATTATGCTGAACAGAAGGACCTGCATGTGCCATAATTCCAATCCTCCTTTCAGAATCCAATTCCACCACTGAGCTTACGGAAGCCAAACATCACAAACAAAGAGGAAAAAAAAGAAATCTGTCCTAAAGTTTAAAGTGCATTAATATACTGTGTGCGTTCCTCTTGTAAAGATACAGGGTTCCTCACAGACAGTGAGGAAGGACATGTGCTCACTGACACACTGCTGCATTTAAACAGCTACATGACAACACGTTACTTGCTTCTGCTGCAGATTCTAAGGTATGTATCAGCAGGGATCATTTATACAGATTAGGACTGGAAGCATAAGGAAAAGAAGAATAGGAATGATGTTAAACTGTTACTAATTAAAAAAAAATGTAAACAGTACATCTACACTTTCTGGACAGCAATTAGCTTTCAGAGAGAAAACCTTGGCACTACTGCAAACAGAGGGAATGCTATTTGTCAAGAAAAAATAAAGAAAAAAATCAATATGTCACTAAGAAAGAATTCCTCCTGGACTACCTGTAGCCTGTAAGACCATGTACTCTCAGATGCAATCTAGTGGGTTTTTTCTCCTCAGAAAATTATCCCTCACTCATTACTAATAATGTTTTACCCTAAAATACTAAAACAATATTTTACAAGATGGAATTACTGGTGTAATGCAGCAAAACAAAACAAAGGTAAACTTAAAACGATATAGGCAAGCTTCTGGCCAATTAAGCAAGAACTCAGGGAAGTCTATTACTCTGATCTGTTAGAGCACTATTCTAGAACTTGTTGAACAAAGAACACAAGGACTACAGTTCAGAAGATTTATGTGTATGTGGCTGTCCCTGGTCATACTGTTCAATGTCTTAGCCTTTTCTAACTAGGACAGAGCCACACATCAACATTTTACCATGCACACTCTTCTCTTCCTTCCCTCTCCTTAAGTCCAACGTTACACAAGAGGATAGAGGATAAACTAACTTATGGTTCAGAATTTACACAGATAAAGACAACTAATATATTCAAGCCCGATTCAAATTTTCACTAATTTCATGTCTTCATACTAGCTGAAGATTTTCAATACTCAGAGGGATGTTACTGTAAACTGCCAGTGATAATTGTTTTACCTTGAAACTGCCCTAGAGGAAGCATCAAGTTTATCTCTGGGGGAATGTAACGTAAAACAACTGTCAGTTCTCCTTTATACTGAAGCCCAACATCTGTTGCAACCTCCACCTGAAAGTAAAAATAAATAAATGAATAGCCCCAAACATAAATCCAGGTAAAGCTAATCACTCATTTTTGCTGTTTGATTTTAACTTTGTTGTATCAATAGTGTTTGAACTGCTTCTTAAACAAATCAAGGTCACACAACAGTAGACACCATTCAGCAAACATACACAGGACAGAGAGATATCTAGCATGAATGAGTGAAACAACCAAAGAGAAAACTCAAACTCATTTATAGAGACATAATCTGCTAATTTAAGATGACATCCTCTTGCCCTTACTTATCCCAATGAGGTTTTTACTCCATAATAGATTTCATGGATTTTACAAGAGTCGCTCTTGAGTCACTGCTGGAACAGAGGTGTGGGGAACCATGGCAGGGGAAGAGAACAGAGCGCAGCTCTCCAACAGAAAACTGTGAAAACTAAGGTTATCCTCAGCGTCCTTGTCCACTCAGATATTATTTCTGCATCTTTTTTATTTTAAAACATTTGATCTTGCCTAAGAAGAGCACATCCAGGACACTTTTAATAAGTACCAAGATGGCAGCAGTGTCTGATGCCAGTTGCTACAACAAAGGACAAAAGAAAGCCTGTAGTAAATGCTGGTGTATAATTTTAACAACAAGAAATCATCATTTAAATTTTGTCAGTAAGGCAGCTCGTTTAAGGTCTCAACTATGTAGGTATTGCATCAATTTCCCATAAAGGCCATGAGGATTATTTTTCTGTTATACTGGGGGAAAACTGATGGCATAAATTCTCACATCAGGAACAGTTTGCCAACGTTCCCTACATACAAAGTGGCTCTAGACTCCGATTCCCTCTTTAACCACAGAAATATTTTCTGTTCTTTTTCTGATTTAATCATGCTCCTTTTGAAAATAAGTGATGTTGTGCTCATAGAAGACATAGGTCTTAAGGTCTCCAGTATTTTCACTAAAGCTGCTAAATGATACAGGATAAAAAAAAATCATACTTTGTAATAAAACCCACAGAATGTTTCACTGCTATTTCTTTCTCCATCGTGCAGTTCTTACGAGAGAACAGCACACAACTTGCTTGTGTGTTAACCTGTGTATTTTTTTTTTTTTATTTCAAAATACAATAATTTAGCTTTCAGAAGAACTATTATCTTCTGAACAACAATCTTAACAGCATTTTAAGTTCAGAAACATTATTTATAACAACTTAGGACAGACAAGTCCAATTTCGCATTTTATTTCTTTGTTAAAAAAAAGAACATGCCCAGAAATTATACAGCAATCAGATTAAACTGTGGAAAATAAATCAAACAGTCCCTCCTAAAGCCCCAGATATAACACTAGTGTATGATGAGAATGAAATATATAAGTTACCCAAGTCTGTCTCCGCATCATCTGCAATACAATCTCAGATTTTTCTGTATCAAGAAAAATAAACTTTCTGAAATAGCAATCTAAACCACTAAAATTCCTGGGGATTCTGGCTGCTGCAGGAGCAAGCAACTCAGTAGCCTTTAATCCTCAACCTTAAAATAACAATTTGAATCTCTTCCAAAAATGCACACCTTTGCCCTTGCCAAAGGGGTGTCCGAAAGACAGAAGTCACCCTGTCTGCAGCTAAGTATAGTGAAAGTCCTATTTCACAAACTAACTGATTTACCTGCTGAGAAGCCTCATCTTATACCTTCCTGGATGGGGTGATTGAGAGATTATAAGTCATTTTGTTACACATGAAAAGAGTGAAGCACTTTGAACTGAAGCAGAAAAAGTCTTTTTCCTTACTAAACTGCTGAGGGCTACACTGGGATAGCGGTAGAAAAATCAATTAAATCTTTTACTCATTTTTCCACTGCAGTTTGCAGCAAAATGAACATACAGTTTATTTAAAAGGTGTTTCTTGGTGGTTTTGCTCTGTTCTGTTCATTTTTTCTTTTAAGTAGCCAACAACATATACTGTTCCTGAAGTCTTCATGAAAATGAAAATGTTCTGACTGAATAAAACACACAGGCACGATTTTCACCTCCATATTAAACAATCGTAAAGTCATCATTCTATAAATATGTTCCAAAGAAAAAATAACTAAGCCTCACTAAATTTACTTCTCAGTGGTTTCATTGGTCCCTGGAAACCCTTACCTTGGGCTGAAGCACAAACCACTCATCACCATGATTTTCAAAGTTCCAGGAATCAAATGGAATTTCCACTTCTCCAAGAAAGCTGTTACGTCCAAATCTGTCGTAGTGCCAGACAGAAAGCTGCAGTGTCCTGGTTTCTAGCTGCGTATGACTGATGACATACTACCAACAAAAAAAACAAAACAACCAACAGTAAAAGAAACCCTCAAAATAAGCATAAATAATAGTTTCCATGGAGCCTTTTACAGTAATAGCTAAGTTTTGTAAAGCCCGCAGCAGCTAATAGATGAAGCATGAAAGAGAGATTTGTTTGCTTTGCAAAGACGACTTCAATAGCTAGAAATCTCATAGGAAGCTGTTAAACCTAACTCTTCTCTCTGTATTACTTACTGCGTATTTATGGTTATAAAGTAAATAATAATGTTTAAAACCATCAACCTGTTAATTCCTTACAGCTTATGTAAAGGAAGCAGTTCAACACCAAAGTTTAGTTTGTAAGAAGAAATCCTACTGGTTCTCTCATCACTAAGGAGAGGCTGCTGGACACTGCATTCTAGAAATAGTGTTCTCCTCTTCAATTCTATCTTTGTAACTTCAGAATAATTGTTCTGAAAATAAATAAAATTGTACCTGCAACACGTTCACCAAGATGTCTCAGTCTCAGCAACACAGTTTGTTTCGAAAGTTATTAAAATTCCTAACATCATATTCTAGCAAATATACAGAAAACTATAAACATCTGGAATTCTATCTCTGCTTTTAGTAAAAAGCCAATTAATTCCACAAGGCTCACCCTTCTTCGAGTGTTAGTTGAGGAAACCCAGATGTCTTCTTTTTGTTTGTTCTCAGTGCAATGCCTGGACACAGATATATTCCCCAGAATCTGAAATGGTGAAGCTAGTTGGCTAGCCACATCAGTAGGCTATTAAAGTATAGATATGTCTACACTGCTTACTCCTAGATGCCAACTATGAGAGCAGCAATATTCACCAATAATGGAATAAACATCCAAGACAAAAGATAAAGACAGATACATACATACATGCATATATATGCATGTTTAATGATACTAACAGTTGCAGCAAATAAATCTAGCTCTTGCTTACCTTCCAGCAATTCAAGTAAATCCTTTGTGTCACAATTTCCATTTTCAGCAAGCTGCTAGTTCTTATCCCTGCAGAGCTCCTTACTAACAAACATTTAACACTAACTATGAGCCCTGCCAAATAGAGTCTAACACATTCTTTTTTTATTTTTTTTATTTTTTTAATCTCGCCACTTCAGGCAAGAATTAACTTTACTATAAACCACTTAAAAATGAAGCTAAATAGGAGACTCTCCTCTGGCAAGCTGCCTGGACAGACCAAGGTAAGTCTACAAAATGGTTTTGTAGCCAGGTTAGGTCAAGAGTACAAGCCAGAGAATACGTATTAGCCTCTCTTATAAGAAACCTATTTAAAGCATCACCAAAATTCCCTCAAAACTCTTTCAAGAGAATCTGAAAAGTCTCTGGCTTTATGACAGCTGGCTGGGATGACTCCAGTCAGTTGACAGGAAGCAGAATCACCAGGAGCCTGTGGTCTAGATGCCAGGCAGCTCATGGGGAACACAAAACCTTTCCAGCCTGCGTAGGCTGGACATAAGTAAGAAGTGGGGATGGAAAGGGAATGGGCACTCTGCTCAACCAGTCCAGCAGGGAGTAGTCTCTTGTTCTCTTTTGCAACATAAAATGAACTTTCTGGGGATGCAGCTAGTGAAGCTGTTGTCAGCATTTTATTACTGAAGTCAGTTCTGCTTTAAAAACAAAGAAAAATCTCCACAGAAAATCACATTTTACTGACAGAGATTATCTTCTCCTAGAAATCAGTTAGGAAGTTTCAAGAGATCTCTGTCTCAGCATCAGTTGCTGATGTAGGGCTTGTAAAATCTCTAAGGTGTGTTTAACTCTGAGATCACGTTAGATGGGAACATCGATAGTTTTGATAGAGACCTACAGAAATCAACAGAATTTTTACCTGTGAAGAGAAGAACCAAAAAAAACCAGTTCCTTGGTGCTGAAAGTCAAAAATTACAACTCACACAGTTACCATATGCTTTGCTTTACTTTCTTTCTGAGGCATCGTTTTTAAACCCTAATTCCCGTACAGGAGCATTTACAGAGAATGCCTATGAGCACAAGTGGAACATTCATCACAGCCCATGGGAGAGACGGCGTTCTCACCTTCAGCGTTTCATTAAATTCCGGATTGGTGCTGTTACTCTTAATTTTGGTCTTGCGTTTACTTTGGCGGGACTTATCAGGCAGGAGGTAAGCTTTGACGTATCTGTGGAACAAGCAGCAAGTTATTAACGAGGAATATAAAACAAAAAATCTGAGCAAGGACCTGCCATTGCTGCATGAGCAGTAAGAACGAGGAAATGAATTTCTGCAGTCTAAACAACGTATGCATGTAACAGCCAATATGTGAAACATGGTAAGGTATGGTCTTTCTCTGCAAACACAGCAGTGCTGGTCTTATAGGATCAGAACAACACAACGGCAGGGTTAAATCAATTCATTCATTCTCAGAAATGCAGAAAACTTTCCCAATATTTTCCCTTGTACAGTATTATGACTCTTGACTGGTTATATATCACAATGTACATCCTGAAAGTAGCTGAGATTGAAAAAAAATCATATTTGACATACAACAGGATTAGAGATGATGAAATATAGTATGAATTCCTAATCTATGAGAACTGACATATTATACTGAAAACTATAATGTGAATCCCAGAAAACATTGTCCTAGCAACGTTAATCTACATGCACAGCACAAAGCTATTTTTCCCTCACTCCCTCCAAAACATCGCTCCTCTTCTATAGTTTAGCTTTGCTCCTAGGAGTAAGAAATCAATTCAGCCTCCCTATTAATTCTTGATTTTGCCCTCTTGCAGAGAATACTAGCAAATAGTTTGATAATTTAAGTAACATTGTTTCCTCAGAATATGTGCACACTACCCTAAGAAACATAATGAAAATGTATTTCCCATAGAGAATGCTGGCCTGTAGCAGGCTATGTCATTGCTGACTACAGTGTGCTATGTGTTGGAGAACAGCCCTAGCAGGGCCTAAAAAGCATATTCTGTGTGCTTACGGATCAGTCCTTTGTTTTTTCTCATCCACAATGGCCAGGTTTCTGCAACTTTTCACCAGGATGTTGAGCGCACCTGTTTTGTAGCTGTAGTTGATTTGGAGAAGGATTTCACCACTGACCTTCACGTTGCTATAGTCACCAGTTTCACTGTATACACTCAGCATGCTATTAATGCTGGTCTGCAAGGGGAGAGAAAAAGGACTTAGAAGCTTAAGCAAAGTACATTTTCCAGAATCTGCTTTTCATGGGGTCACAGATACTGTCTCACTTGTTAAGACTTGCTTTGAAAAGAGATAGAAGAAAGAAAAGAATACCACTGGCTTATGTTTGATGTAAAGAGAATAAGAACTATAACTGAGAATAGCTTATTTATCTAGACAGTTTATGTTTTTTACACGCAAGACTCAAACCTACTTATAAACACGACTAAATGTAAATTATCACCATTGGACTCATGCATGAAATAAAGGACAGTCAATCTACATCAACTGTAAACTCACATAAGCTCCAAGCAGACAAAAAACAACTCTTTGGCTCAGCTGTCCACCTAATTCTTATTGAATATCATGAGATAACTGCTGACGCAACCATTAGAAAAAGCTCTAAGGATGATTCCTTAATGAAAATGGTATAAAAACACACTTGATTAAAGTGACACCAACCTCTCATTTGCAGTTCTAAAAGAATTAGCAAAATTCAATACCCAGTGCAATTTTCCTAAAGCCAAAAAAAATTTAGCAAAAAACCCACAAAATCTTCCACTGTATAATATATCATACCCTGATTTTTTTTTTTTTTTTTTGCTGCTGTCCTATGCAGTATTGCAACAGGAGTATCCTTCTCCCCAAAAGATTTCACTTAGAAAAGAACTGAATGTTTTTAAAGAAAATTGGAGCAATGCGCAAAGACATTCGCAGAAGAAAACGCTTGGCAGGTTTCTAGTCTTTGACTAAGATTACTCAAAGAGATGCATAACAATATAAATCTCCACTACATAAAACTTTGCAAGACATATAGATACAGTTTTCAATTCAGAGGGAAAAAAGAGAATCTTCAAAAGTAAGTTAAGCTGAGGATTGCAGAGAACTCACAGTATCACCATCTGTTTCAGGCACATTTAAGAAGTTCCATTTTCTGTCAGAGCCTTCTGGGAAGTTCTTTAGAGAAAGCAGTGCAAAAAGTCAACAGAAAACAGCATTAGATAGCTGCAGTAAGAAAGAATAAATGCAGTGATAATGCATTACCTATACAGACAGGTAAATGCAATTCACATCACAAAACAACAGCAAGAAAGAAGGAAAAGATATTGCTAAATCAGAGACATGCAAAGTGTTTTCCAAATACTTCAAGTGGCGAAGGACACATGGCTCAAGGTGATTAAAAAGAAATGAAGTTATCTGCTGTCTCAAAAAGAAAAAAAATTAGATTTGTATCAGATTGTACTTGGATGTGCCCCAGTTACACCTTTGTGAACTCAGTTCTTACTTAGGCTAGTCAAAAGGTGAGCACTCCTGTATTGTAGCAATGGTGCCTTTGTAAACAGCAACAACAACAACAACAACAACAACAACAACAACAACAACAACAAAAAAAAGCAGTTTCTCTGAGGAGTTTGTAAGTCCAGATGGAAAAAAATATGCATAAATGTTTAAACATGTCACTGGGGGGAAAAATACAGTTACAGAATACTGGGGAAAACACTTTCCAGTGTCTGCTTATTTCAGCATGTCATGGTTCTATGGTTTTTTTTTTTGTTTGTATATATATGTATATATATATATATTAAGCATGATGTAACGATGTAGAATAAGGGGTGGAATGTCATGGTTCTATGGTTTTTTTTTTTTGTTGTTTGTTTGTTTGTTTTGTTTTTGTTTTTTGGGTTTCAGTATTCCACATCAAAACATCATGCAGTGTACGGGGCATTGAAGTGTCACTGCCCCAATTCCAAGTACCTATCCCTGTACATTACAGCAGTCACGGGATCTGGCCCTTCCGGGTGGGGGGGTCGCTCTCTTGCTGCCTGGCAGTGGGTGCTGGAGGGTGCTTTCCTAGCCGTTCCAAGCTTTTCAGGTTTGAATCGGTCCTGGGAACTCTCTCTCTCTTATCTTGTCTGATTTATTAATCTCAATTTCAATTAAATTGTATAGATTGTGTTATCTTGTATTCCAATATTATAGTAAAATAAGTTTTCCTCCATAGATTGTTGCCGCTGTACTTTTCCTCCCTTCCTTCCTTCCCATTTTGTGGGACTGGGGTGGGGGGGGAGGGCAGAGGCCTGTCGCCCCTGTCACGGACATAGATTGATCTGGTCAACTCCGTGACACAGCAATATCTGAAAGTCTCAACAATAAATTCATGGGAAACTACATCCTTCCCTGACAGCTACAGGAAGGAAGGAAGAACAGAGTCCAGGAGAAGAAACAAAAAAGAAAATAACCATCCATATACCCATCTCAAAAATCTAATAAGGTTACACCAATGTGGCCAGAAGGAATATCTGTCCTCTTGAACCCAAATATCCTTTAGGTACATTGGCAGCAAGGGAAAAACAGCTGGGAAATCCTAAATGCATAGATGACCTCTGACCTTAGAATCTACGCAAAAGCAATTTCTCAACTGCTTAGAAACTGCAATATGACACATCTTCTTTCTGCACGTTCTGTTCTGTGGAAATTACAACAGCCTTTACATGCACTAAACGCAGCGTCCCTAGGAAATCTAATCATTTTCCAGTTGCATTAGTAAACAAGCACTGCACACGAAGGTTGCTTAGCCTCATTTTAGCCCATCACTATGAACTACACTTGTTCTGAATCTTATCTTACAGGAGCAGGAAGGCACAGGAACAACTTAGTCTTAATGATGTGACAGGACCTGACAGCCACACATTGATGTGCTTAGGAAAGGAATCAGTGAAGGATTCAGGGAAAACTAAGTAAACTGTACACGTATTAGTTTTGGAAAAACAGAAAGAAAACACCATAATGCTAAGCTACAATTCCTGTTTAATGCCATTTTTCATTCCTATTTTCACTCACCCATCATATAAGTAGATATAAAGCGTTTTTACCTTCTGAAATATTTCTTTTATTTCAAATGCTTAGTATTAGAGTACCCTTGCTATACTTTTAATTCTCATATTAAAAAAAAAAATGCACTTGAAGTCTACTGTTCACTAACAACATTACTGCAATGTGACATAATAATAGTACAGTCATTTGACAGGCAAGAAAAATACAGGGAAAAAAATTGTATGAGGCAGAAAGCTCAAAGGCATATAATAAGAAAAGGAAAAAAAATACAAGAGAGAATGAATGATAATTACTAATAACACAAACACAAGGAAGCCACAATGAACCTGTAATACTGATATGTTCTTAAGTGAGTAGTAGCTGGCCTTTCAAAATTTCTCCATTAGCACTGCATGCAGTAACATTAACAACCACTTTCGGGTGAGTACAAGGAAATAAGAGCATTAAGATGTGAGATTACCTCAAACCTCCAGCAGCAGCAAAGCTGCACTCTGCTTAGGAAAAGGTAAAAAATGGACATAAAATGGATGAAATCCAATGTACAGGCAGAATTCTGCCTACAGAACACAGAGAGAAGGATCTCCAAATACAGTTCCTCAATTAATGGGATGAATTGAGAAAGCACTTAAGTGCTTGCAACCTTCCTACCAATATTCAGAGGAAAGAAAAACAATTCTGCCTGAAAAATCATTGGCCAGCAAAGGATTGGAGACAATGAGTCATAGTCAACCTCACAGAAGTGGGTTTTATTAGACCAACATCAAACAAGCCACAACAATTTGGTGTGATGTGCCACATACTTCTGTTGTAGCTGTTTCTGCAAATTACACAAATTAAAAAGGAAAAAAAAGGCCTAGACATGGGCAGAGCTGAGATACCAAAATGTTCTCCATGGACACTTCTCTCAGCCCTTTGTTGTTCTCAGATAAGCCAAGTTTGGGTTCAGCCAACACCATCTCTTTGGGATCAAGAACTTAAATGTGTGTTCCCACAGCTCTGCCTGCAGGAAGACTAATGGGAATACAGTCTGAAAAGAACAGTTCACCAATCAGTGTCATGGGCCATATTTTCTCTTCCCTTTTAGCAAAAGACTCCCCAGCTATCCATTCTCTTCAACTCTTTCACCCTGTATCTGTTGTTTGTTGGAGCCTACTGCTGCTCTGTGTGCTGGCCAGAGCTATTCTCAGCACAAGGCATGAAGAATAGTGGCTAAAGCTCCAAGACATCACTAGAGATGAGATGCACACATCTTGAGTGTCAGATACCAGTAATGCAGTACACACTACATATTCATAAACTAGACATGTTAAAGACTATTCCTACTAATTGTTCTTATCAAAGTGAATAACTGACTGTAAAAAGAGCTGCATAAGACTTGTTAGGCTAATTTTGTTGCATGCCAAGCATTCATAACAACCTGAAAATGCAACCATTCAAAACCAACACCAAGTTGCAACAGAAAACCAAAAGACTCAAACATCTGATTTATATTATTCAGTTTGTGGGCATGACTGACATAAAGAAAATTACCACAGTTATTTTAGGAGGTAGAAAAGCTGGCACCCACCAGAACCCCCCAATATCTCCTTCCTCATTGGAAAAAGAAATACTTTTTGAGATTGAGGTGGTGTAACAGTCCTGTCACAGTTAATGGAAGGACAAATATTTGTGTCCCAAGAACCTTAGCATTCAGAAAACAAAATAAGGTGAAAGAACACACCACAGCTTTGTTCTACTTATTTCAAACACATTAAATGCTCCTCTGGAAAGCTGAGTCGCCACATTCTGCAAACATCTATGGCTTTCCTTCCCCAAATACTAGCTTGGCAGTAACCTGAATGTGTAGACAAATCTGTTGATGAATAAAGGTTGTAGCTTCCCACATGTGCTGAGAGATTGATGTCTTAGCTCTGAACAATGGAAAAATCTTAATAGTCAGAACACTCTATCTAAAAATCATGTTCCTCGACTGTAGGATTAAATGGCCAGGAAAATTACTAAAATATAAACTGTAATGCTTGCAAGTGATACAATGTTTATCTCCATTTTGAAGAAATAATGGTCTGATATGAAAGGAAAAAAGCAAATTTTCTACTCAAGATCTTACTCTTGACAATCCACTTGTCAGATGTCCATGTTTCCTTGAATAACGAGAGGCTACAATGTCATCAATATCTTCTTCTGTTTCATCCAGGGAATCCTAAATGAGAAAGAAATGTGCAATTCAGTCATTGTGTTCTCCACTGTATTTGGTCAGCCTCTGTCCCCTGACATTGTTTCACATATTTTCTGCTTGGGCAAGATGGCACAGGATGCATTTAGAATTCTAATCTCCAGAAGAATTTTGAACTAACATTTTCCATATTTTTGCACAGGTACACAGCAAAAAAAAAAAAAAAGAGGTCATCAGATTTCAGGTTTAAACTGCTTAAAAAATGGAAGAAATGACACACACATTCGCTATCTTATTCTGTAGACATATAATTTTGCACCATCAATAATTGTTCACATAAAAAAATTCTTGCATTAAAATAATGCATTATTGCAATAATAATCAGAAAAATTGCAAAGAAATCATTAGTTGCACACCTTCATATATATATAGGTGAATTCTAATAATCAAGACTGAAATCTAACATCCTTAGCTCATATCCAGAAAAAATATATTACTTTTTAAATACAGCAATAAAGTAAAACCTAACAAGAAACTTAGTATCTGGCTGATAGTACTAATAAGATTCTTAACTTGAAGCAAAAATTACAGGGAAAAAAAAGTCATCTTCCATTCTATTCAGAGCAGCTGGGAAATTTCAAGGAACTCTTTAAGTCTCATGGCAGGTATTGTTTTTATGGAAGCCAAATGTACAAATCCTTTATATCTGCTTTGCAACTATACAAGTCTCATGTGACACCTACCTCAGTGGTTGCACAACCATTCTCTATACCTTCTAAACTAAACAGAGATCACACAGACTTCTAATTAGGAAGAACAGCAGAAAAGAAATGCTGCTGGAGAGTTAAACTGTCATTGTTTATTTAAAGATCTGCAAAGTGCTCATTATTAGTATGAATAAAACTAGCTGTTACTTCTCTAATCCTTTGCTCCAGTTACTGAAATGAATCAGCTGAAAACTACGCAGCATTTTCTATTACTACTTTCCAACCACAGTCGTGCACATGTAACATTGAGCAAAGGGAAATGAGGACAAGCCATCACTTTATTCAGGACAAAAAATTACATAGTGAAGCAAAAAAAAAAAAAAACCAAAAAAAACCTTTTAGCTTCACGTTTTTACAATGAGCCTCCTCTGATGGTGTGTTTCCTTCCTTTTCTACTTGGGGTCCACTGCAGAACAAAATGTCATAGATACTTCACACCGTAAACAAAATGTCCATAGAGACCCAGGCACAACATAGTACACTATTCTCATGAGAAACACTGTTGAATCCTTCAAAAGTAAATAAATTAATTAATTCAAAAAATTAAATAAAATAAACAAGCACTTATCACTTCTACTCTCCTTATTGACTTAGAATTCAAGTGACACAAAAATATGAAAATGATACCAGCAAGATGTTCTTCCAGCCAGTGCATCAAAGAGAAGCAATTCTGGTAATACAACCCAACTCTTTCCTTTACACTGTTGTATCCACATATGTGGTGTTAAAAATCAAGTACTGAATTTTGATTGGTGAATAGTTATACACAGGACAAATCACAGTGAGGTACCATCTTCGCCATGGGATGCTTAAGTTTTAGACACTCAACTGTTGACAGCCCTTCCGTGACAGGGAGTTGTAGAATCACAGAATACCCTGAATTGGGAGAGACCCATAAGGATCATCAATGCCAACTCCTGGCTCCACAAAGCACCACAAAATTCAAACTCTGTTTGAAAGAGCTGAGTCCTAACGGTAAGTACGTGATCACCAATTTTTGTCTGCAAGCGATAATATAAATTTAAAACAAATGGTTACCATTTAACATAAGCACTTAATTCCTTCTCCACTACAATGATTATGTTTCTCAGTCGGTGTTACAGAACAGTAGCTACATAATTGGTTACTGTTATTAGCTTATATAAGCCTATTAAAGTTAGAGCTGGAAGGACACTAATCTTGTGGTCTCCAGGGGGAGTTACAAAATGCACATTATCCAATTCCTTCTAATAAAGCAGCTGAGCACGTAATGAACACTACTTGGTCAGGAATTCAACGCACACCTCTGAAGATAAGGTGCACACAACTGAGAGCAGCACTACATGTTTAGCTGGCTCCTTGAAAAATACCACAGCATGCAGCTTTCTCGTCCCTTCCCACTTCCAAGAGTAAGAAGAAAAATACCACTCTATCTCTACATGTAAGCGGTGCTATTGATAAAGCTGGGAGCAGAGCAGCAAAAATCCTTTTTCCACCTTTCCAGCTGGCAATCTGCTTATCTTATTAATGTGTGGCATCTCTCACACCACTACCATTAGTTCCCATCACCTACAAGAGACTAAAGGACCTCAGCTAGGTCCACCAGCCAGTCAAGATGAAGGAATTCATAATTCTTCTCAGACTAAAGGAACTGTTGTAATTTTCATCAGATATTCTTATTTTTGTCTCTTGTATCAAGCACCAAAACTAAACCCCAGTGGGAGTATAACCTTCATCTCAAAACACAGCATTCATATGCAATCTAAGGCAAGACACTGAAGTAGTCCCATGAGTCAAACTACCCTAAAAAATACGCTGAGATGCAATCTGGCATTTCATTTAGAGAAAGCAAAAACTCCCTTCCGTGTACAAGGAAGGCAAAAATCAAATAACCTAAAACTACTCTGGATAGGACACTTCTGGTGCATGCCTTAAAGAAATTCCCAAGTGACAACTATCACACTCTGTACAACTAGAACAGGAAACCAACATAAAATATTTAAAGCTCTTATTTTCTTATTTTATGGTTTTCTTCTGCCATCTTTTCCAGCTTCTAAATCAAGAACGCACCCTTTTTCTTTACTAAAATTAAATAATAAAACATTAATTTTTAAAGGTTATTTCAACATAAATCTGATGCACAGAAATGGCTTGTTATTCCCTAAATGTTTCCAAACAGAGCAATGCTGCAGGCAAATTCACTAGGTGGTTACAACCCAAGAAACAGATGGGAATCCCAACTTACTGTTTTCCACAAATCCTCAAGTATCAAACATTACAAGAAAGGGACACGTGTCCCATGGCCAATGCCCTTCTGAAAAGAGCAGATGATAGGAAAGTATTATGGCAAAAGACAAAACATTACTGTTGCAGCAGGTAATGTTTCTTTTCTCTTTTTTTTTTTTTTTTTTTCAAGCTAACCATTTGCATTTGGAAACTTCAAAACAAACTATGATTAAATGAAAAAATGTTCAAATTACTCTTTTCCTCATGCATACTCAACAAGCTAGGATTTTTTTTCTTTTCATGGCATCGATGCACACCTGCAACTTGTGCATCTGTCTTGAATACGTGCATAATGTGAGAGGGAAGTTAGCTATCACATCAGGAAAGGCAGTCCTTACAGACCACACAAAAAGAGGAATGCAGATGTATGTAAGAAACTGATTAACAGAAAGAAGAGATTGGCAAAAGTGGTGGGAAAGATAGGGAGGGCTTCATCTTCCAAAGAAACAAGGCAAAAGACAGAAACAGATAAAGATTACAGCTGATACAGTATTTTTCAGCATAAAAAGTAAAAATGAAGAAAGTAGGATTTAACAGCACTTCGGAGTATCTATAATCTGGAGCCTGAAATTCAGTGTTATTCACCTGAATACTCAAAAAGTAGCAAATTAATAGCAAACTGTTATTCACTGGAATCATTCTACAGCCAACAGACTAAAGAAAAATGAAACTGCTTAAAAACTCATTTAATACCCCTCAACGTACATTTTGTATCACTTATACATACAGTGCTGATTTTCTAAGACTGAGCAAACACGATTTCTGCCAGATAAACATTCACATGTTTACAACTCACCAGCTCCTCATCTAAGGCGCTAGGTACAGATTTGCTTCTTACGCTCAAGGTATCCTGTTTTCCTTCAGAGTAAGATTCACTCAAATCTATCTCAGATCGGCTACGGTCTAGAAAATGAAAGTAACAAAGCAGCTCATTACAATTTTGTGTAAAGAATACTGCCACTTTTGCCTTGCTACTCTTTACTAAGTGCTGTCTCAGACTGATTTCAAAGGAAAAACGTTAAAATTGCATTTCTGTACACATCGCTCACAAACTCTATGACAAATGCCCATCGTGACGAAAAATAGAAAAACATGTTTTATGGTGCTATTTGGCCTTCTGCCAACATTTTTCACGTGCACTTTTTATCTGATGTAATTGTTTCCAGTGGATGACATGACAGATCAAGCTTTTGACTTCATATGTTAGACCTATTACCTTGGAATACTGCATTACTTGGAATAATGCCCAAGCATTTCTAGAGACGACAACATTACCTACCATAACCAAAAACCCTTCAGCATCTCCTTCAGATTTAAGCAGCCTGAGATACAGAAGGGCACAAAAAACATTTCTGCCACCACTGTGCAGAAAGGGTCAAAGCAAGTAAGTCTCTAATTCTACATTTTTTAAAATTTCCACAAGTTTCTCATCCCTTCTTTAAAGGCACAAGAGATGCTAGATATTTTAGAGAAATATTTTCTTTGTTCTCCCCCTTAAATGTTTTGTGCTACTGTTCAATAAATAGATTTAAAAAAATGAAGAGAATACTTCTACATCCTGCAGATAAGAATCTGTAAAGTTTTCTGCTGTCCATCCTCTTCTGGTCTATAACTGATGTGACAGGAAAGGTCTGCATTTTGAGCTTATGCCATAGAATCACAGAACAGTTTGGGCTGGAAAGGACCTCAAAGCCCACACCACCCCAACCCCTGCCATGGGCAGGGCTGCCCCCACCAGCTCAGGCTGCCCAGGGCCCCATCCAACCTGGCCTTGAGCCTCCAGGGATGGGGCACCACAGCTTCTCTGGGCAGCTGTGCCAGCAGCCTCTGAAATCCCCCAGAAATAAGACAACAAAGAGTCTGAGGGATGTTCCCAAGCTGCCTCCAATTTTGCTCAGCATCTACTTTAGTAAAATGAGGCCAGCTCTTAAATGCTCAGAAAGCCTGTAATTTGTAAGGCAGCAGAAGCAGAAGAAACAGTCATTTCAGAAATAAAGTAATAGCCAGGAATGCCTCTGCCAGGAATTGCATAATGCAGTATTCTCAAAGAAACCCTGATGCTTTCAAGTGGAAAAAAATCTAAGGTGAGGACTGTAACTCCTTTGATTAACTCAGTGGGATTTGTCACTAGGTTTCTGCTTTGGGCTAAATTCAGATGAAAGAGTGATCCCTGTGCTCTTCTTCAGAGAGAAACATGAATCTGAACCCACTCTGTTAGCCTGTAAGAAGCAGAGTAAAAGGCAGAAGAGTGCAGGACACACCTGCCTCCCATTTCAGGTAGGAAAGGAGGATCTCCACCCACTGATGCAAAGAGGCTCTTCCTGGGCAAGCCTCATTTACCTAGCAGCCTCCAATGAAATGAGGTAAATCACAGCTAAACCAAGCGTTCAATGCTTCATGCATAAAAACCAAAATGATGTGACAGCTGTAAGGGACTTGCTATCTGACAGCTCATTGTTTCTCAGTGTGATTTGTTTCTGGGCAAAGAGGGTGTGAAATGTAATTGTATTTTATACAGATAGCTCACAGATAGTATTTTATATGGTTGACCACACAGGGAACGATTTAACAATGTGAAACTGTCAATAAAAATCTTGTAACAAGTCCTAGAGTATATCATTTGCCAGTAAGGATTACCATATTTTCAAACGTGAAACTTATTAAGTGGCATAAATTTAATTAGAAAAAAGATGAATTTTGTAGGATGAACATCAGCAAGTACATGACTCTTATACCTGATCTTCTGATGTGCACTAAAAACAGAAATCACAGACCCACAAGAATAGCCATAATCTTCTAATGATAAGGGCTAGCAGAAAAAAAGAAGACTTAATACTTGCCTGATGACAAAGATACTCTAGAAACTGCAATGGAAGGTGTTCCAGATGCTTTTCTACGGTGCTTCTTTACTAAATCTTCAGGTACACTTTCACTTGCTGGAATAATCATGCCATTTTCTGAACCAGTGTCCTGCTCAGTAAGAAAAAGGCACATCCCAGAAATACAAAAATTGAACTTACTTACCATCAGTCTACAAAAGCACCATTTCTATTAATTTCCAGAAATCCAAAGCTTCTTTAGCACCTGGACTATAACTGAATATATTTAGTTTACCACTTAATCTGCGCTGCTTAGTACAGATCATGCATAAAATTTGCCAAAAACTGCAATTCATGTGTACAGTCTGAGTTCGCAACTGAAAAATCAGGAGTGAGGGAAGGAAAGTTAAAAAAAAAAAAACAACTATACTATGCTAATTTAGCCTAGAAATTATGTAAAACAAAAAAAGAAGAAAAAGTATTCGCTTTATACCAGCATAATTTGTCAGATTAGAAGTAAATGGATTTGAACTAATTAAATTATGATAGCATAATTCCTTAAATAAAGCTAGTATGCTTGATACTATTATTTTTTTCTTGCCTTCCTGTACAAGGAATAGCTAACAACATCAACTGTGTCCAAATTGAATGGATTTGTCTTTTTCAATGACATCTAATGCACTTGAAACAAAGACAATTTGTGTGCTAGCAAGAATATAAATAAAGCAAGTATTAACTTATTTACAGCACTCATAACTGGCCTTCACTAATACTAATTCATTTTTATAAAAGATTATAAATTAGACAAAGTACTTGGAAGCTGGAAAAAATGGATGTGTTCTCTCAATGAGATGGAGTTCAAAAGCCCATCTATTTCTTTCCAGTGACAAAAAGAATTATCTCTGACTATAAATTTGACTTTCCTTCTATACAACTTGTGTTGTTGCAACTTGGATCAACTTAGAATCATTGAAGTTGGAAAAGAACCTTTAAGATCATGTAGGCCAACCGTCAATCCATCACCACCATGCCCACTAACTGACTGGAATAAGCCTGATTTCTTAGGAGAGATGACCAAAATGAATGCAGGATGGTTGTTCCACTCAGCAGACAGCCAAGAGCACCCGTCTGATAAAGGAACGAAGATGGTGTTTGCTTCTTGCTGAAGTGAGCCAAATCCTGCTTATTATGAAGCAGCCAAGGATGCTGACTCAGACATGGCCATCTACACCTCTAGAGGCCTAATAACAGCAAGTAAGAGGAGTCCCAGATGTTTCATTTTGACAGCATCTAGCACACATTGTGTGCTATGCCACAATTTAAACAAATCCAAAAAATTAAGACATGTACTGCCTGATTTTCTGCAATTGCTGATCTTTTCCCTCAGAAGTCGGGGGGGTGTGCTGGGCCCTGCATGCTGGAGAGTCACATCCTTAGCTCACGGCACTTATTCAAGGCCCTACAGTGTCAAAAACATGTACACTCATCCCTTGTGCTTCCCACTTCAAAATCTGTAAGTCATTAAGCAATTCTGGATATCAGCAGCAATTTTTAGACAGAAAAATGCCTGCCAAACCAAAAACCACATCACTGATAGAGCACGACAAATCTTGCTCTAGTAGAGACCTTCATTGGTCCCAGCAGAATTATAGAAGAGACAAAATCTTCTCCACCGGGCTCGTCCTTCCTGAGCTACAAATTGATCTAACAGAGCAGACACCAGCCAAGCTGTCCTGCTCGGCGCCAGCTCCATTTGGTGTCAGCTCTACATCAGGGAACTTACCCTGCTATAATCTGCAGTCATGCTGCATGTGCTCAGCGCCGGCGACCTCAGGAGGGAAGATATGGAAGCACTGCTTCTGTTTGCAGGGCCCATGGCCCCTCTTACATGGCCTGCAGCTGCTTCAGTATCGCTGCTGTTCAGGGAAAGAGTGCTTCCTCTGGGAAGGAGATAAGAGTAAAAAAGCGTTACTGCTTCCAGCAAACCACAGAATAAAATATCACTGATAACGGTTTATTAGAATTGCATTGCTCTGGATGAACCGTGTCATCCACTGGAAGGAAATGGCCACCTGGAAAGACAAACATAAGCTGGGGTGAACCAATTATGTCACGCCTATACCTGTTTTCAGCATCTCTGCCAGAAGTGTGAATAGCCCGAGCAGGCGCCTCTTCTCCAGTTGCTGCACTGCCACATGTTCATGTGACAGCACACGAGCATCTCAGCAGAAGGCGTGAGGCCTCCAGTGGGACTTCCCATACGGGGAATGAGCTGCTCCTCATTTTGAAGAAAAATTACCAGGATCTGACAGTTCTGATCACTTCTGTCAGCACTATCCCCAGGAATTCTAAAATCCTCAGCTGTGCATTCTCTTTCCTCTCCAGAAAAACAATTATCCTCTCTCCTGCTAGAAGAGCACCATCCTATTTATATAATGACAATGACTTGTGACCCCAGCTGGCAGATCATTTCAACCAGACTGAAAAGTGACAAAAAGCAGCCTGTGGTCACCATGCCCAATTGCTATCTAATGCTGCAGCAGACAAGAGGGACATTTTCTATTAGAAAATATTGATCAGTCCATGTGTTAGAGTGCTAGGAAAGGTAAGCTGTTGTACTTTTTATTTTTATCACTTTTTAACTCTTGAAAGAATGAAAATGATTTTAAAATTTATTTTAACGTTTCCAGCCTAAGTCCTATTTCCATTTGAAATTTGATTAGAAGCAAAAATCCAAGTTCCTGACTCATCCATTCTTCCCTCTTTCCCTGCAAACATCAGTTCAGATATTTTCATTTTCCTTCACAACCTAGGGAACTGTAACAGAGCCTTGCCAGACAGTAACAGTTCTGTACACAGTCCTACTTACTATTTCAAACAATTACTGATAAACAGCAATTGATGCAAGCACCACAGCCTTTTTCATGCAGAAAAACGCAGCACCAAAGGACAGAGGTAATGCGATTTTGCTGGAGAAAATGATTTTGGAACTTAAAGCGTGTTTTCAGCTTGCTTAGCCATTATTTTAGATCTGCAAGCATCTTCATTGTGCACACATCTGATTTTCACCTTCACTTCAGTTTGTCATACCACATTAGGGTAACAGCAGTAAAAATCTTCTCTAAAATAACAAAAATGTGTATCAGAACTACTGCTGAACTGAAAACAAATGCTCAGTTACTGTCTACCCTAAGCAGGGAACACAGATCACATTTGTAGAGTTATTAAAAACAAAGAATAGAGAGGAAAACTCCAAAAACCAGAACTGTCTACTAATGTTACATAACAATATTTTGTCCATTATTGGTCATACAGAAACCTTTTAAACAATTATCATTCTGTTTCTTATATCAACAAGAGTAGATTACTCATAATAAACTCACTCTCACCCATGTGCACTTCATATAATCGCACTACTACTTTTTAATCTGATGAATCAGTGATCAACAAACCCTAAAAAATGTGGTCTGGTTGAATTTTAGTCCTATCTGCTCACATAAAGAAGTGCTTTTGGTGCCACGAAGTCAGAAAATCAAAGCACCTGGCTGTCATCTGTATTTTGTCAAAGCTCTTGTATTTCATTGCACACTTAATTTCTAAACCTGCCAACCATGGTCAGTTGTCAAACTGCACTGAGTAATATCAATAAAAAATAAAATTTGATTTTTATTCTGTCACACCACTTTTGATAGATTGCTTTAACTTTGTGTTTTGAAAGCTCCTGTTACAGAATTTTTCCTCACTCTGTAAACTAATGTGAAACAACAGAAGCATTCCTAAGTCACACAGGACTGGGATAACAAAGATTTCAAAATGTGTTATGAGAGATTCTGTAATCATCAGTCAGAATGAGCACTTGCATACCAGATCATAGAATGGCTTGGGGTGGAAGAATCATCAAGTTCCAACCCCCTGCCATATGCAGGACCCAAAACCTCCATATCTAATACTAGACCAGGCTGCCCAGGTCCCCATCCAACCTGGCCTTGAACACCTCTAGGGATGGGGCATCCACAACCTCTCTGGGCAACCTGTGCCAGCAGCTCATCACTCTCTCTATGAAGAACTTCCCTCTGAAATCTAATCTAAACCTTCCCTCCTTGAGCTTAAAACCGTTCCCTCTTGTCCTATCACTATCTACCCTTGTAAAAAGTTGATTCCCCTCCAGTCTGTAATCCCCTTTTAAATACTGGAAGGTCATCTTCAGACCTTTGTGCTTATTTCAGACTGCTTTTAGAGAGGGGCCCAACTTTTTTTATACGTATATTACGTAGACAACAATGAAAGAAGTTGTTATAAGGTGACAATACTATGCATTTCCACATGGTAGACAAGACCTCAATAAGATGGGGTAGCATTTGCACAGATGAGTCTAAAATTCCTACACTATTCATCTAAGGAGTATCCTGATGCTGCAAATTCAGTTTGTTCAGCTGCAGTAACAGTAAACATTCCTGCAGCAGTAGAAATAAACCAGTCCAAGAGATGAACTCCTGGCCCAGGCCTTCCCGTTTCTCATCTCAGTACAGCTTTTCTTAAATCAAAATAGTCAGAAAGAACTTTCATTCTTTCTCAATCTCCCTGTTGGTAGGTGAAATACTCAGAGTTTTGACAATGCCGCTAAAAGATGGGACAACTACAAAAATAAAAAATACGCAGGAGAATCTAGGGCAGCAACAGTGACACAACATGCTATTATATTCCCTTAATTTGAAACAGCGATGGAGGGTAGCCTGGGAAAGTTTGTTGTTATTTTTAATCAGTACTACTCAGTTCTATAAGGTAACAATGGATAAACTACAACAAACATTTTTGAAAATCTGTATAAGGCAGGAATTTTCATTCCTCTACAGAAACCCATATTATCAAATTTCCAATGCGTGTAAAACATATGGGTATTCAGTATAGATTACCAAGTGAACAAGAAAAATAAAGAAGTTGTTTGTTTACTTGATTTTGGAGGTGAGATGAGAAGAATACTGCATGTGGCATTTTATAATACTATCAAAACAGGCAATAACAAAGATTTTCTAAGTCCCAAAGAATTTTAAATGGAACTCTAACAGAAATAACTGGAACATAATATTGGAAAGAGAAGGATAAAACAGATCCTTTGAAAGAAAAAGTTACAAATTATAACGAATTAACATGTCATTACAAAAGTAAAATTTTGGGGAAAAGGTCCTCAGTTCTGCAACGTGAACACAACTTGCTGGATTAAAAGCCAGAAAAGAAAAACCAATGCACTGACAGCAATCACCACCTAAACATAAGGGAGAAAAAAGAGATGGACAGAGTAATTTTTATTTAGTTAGTTGTTAAAACAGAAGCTCTCCTTCTCAGACTGTGCTCACTCAGGGCAATCGAAGACAATCCAATTCTGTGGACTGCCACATACGTCAATTTCAGCACAAACTGCAACAGATTTCTGCCACTCACCTCTCAGAACAAGGCGTTGACTTGCTACTGTGTAGGCTTTGGCATTCAGCTTCACAGCCTATGCGCCTTCCACCTTCATCTTTTGCAATTGTAATTTCTCCTTTGGTAGCTGCCTTGATCATCTTCCTGATGAAAACAGGAAATTAAAAAAAAAAAATGTTGTAAAAGTTGCAATATCTTTCCCAGAAACAGCAAACTGGCTGAAATACCCCAAAGTGCACATTCTATTTATGTCTGAGCTACGGACAACTTGGGATATAATTGTCAACAAAGTTCCAAATCTGAATTTCAAGCTGATTCTAGGAACAAAAGCAGCATCATATTTACAGTAAGCTACTTTAAGACACAGAACATCAAAATACCACAGAATCACAGAATAAAAGGTTAACTACTTGCTATGAACTAATAGTGCCTCATGAAATCCTCAGAATTTTAAGTAGATACACAGCAAAGAGTTTTTGATCAAGTACATGTATTTTCTTGTAGGAAATTACACCAAGTGTATTTTCTCTTTGCAGTTTCTATACTTGTACATAGCAATACCTCAGACTTTCTGAAAACACAACACCACCTCCTTGTCTTACCTCACCCTGCAGTACTTGGTTTAAAAAGATGAAATGAAATTACATGTAACTGAATAGTCACAGTATACTTCACAGACATACAAGCAAGAGTGTAAAAGGTTTCCCATTATGCTAAGTTTAAGGAGTTGGCCCCAAAATGGCTTTGCTAAAGCAAATGCACTCATGAAATATATGAACATGAAACCTGAGTGAGGAAAAAGGAGCAAGGAAGAAAGAGGAGAAGTAATGAATTACTCCTAAGAGAAGCGGCCTATTTCTTGTGGAGATAAATTTATGGGGAATGTCACCATTGGAAGATGTTCCAAACCACAAACTGAAAAATGCTGAAAACTACTAAAAAATAAAAATAAAAAGAAAAGAAAATGAAAAAAAAACCCAACCAAAACAATTCGTTTCTCATGAGTAAATGTTCAATGGATTTAAGTAAAAGAGGATCCGAAAACTAAATTTTAAGGTGCTCTCCCTATAGCTACCAATCAGTTCCCCTACAATAAATTCCCTTAGCTGGTTTCTTCTTCACCTTCATTTGAGAAGCCAGAGATGTTCTGATGCTCTTTTCACCATTACTAAACAGAGAAAAATACTTCACATTTTCTGATTGACTGGAGGAAGGAACTCCATACCTACTACTCCTCAACAGTCAAGGTGTAGAAAGCCATCTACCCACCCTACGGTTGGGATCCACAGCTCTACCCATAACATGAACATTCATCCAATTTTATTCCCATTCATTGAACTTTCTCAAGTTATCTTTGAAAATCACACATGCAACCATATATTCAATGCATCTGTCCATGTCCCCTGAGAATAAGTGAGCACTTCTCTAAGGCCATGGCCTAAGTGGGGTTATACACTTCACAGGCTGTAAAATGACCACCATCACATCTCTTTATTCACTGTCACAACACAAAAAAACAAAGGATCACTGCTTGATTGTTACACTAAATTTGCAGAGCTAGAAGCCAAAGGAAAACATGACTTGTAAATGGGAGCAATGAGCGTATGTAGAAAACAGGCCTTTCTTGAATTTGCCTTCTCAGCAAATGTCTTTTAGAGACCCTCTGCTATTTCAAATATAAATAGGAATAATCCAGCAGTTAAATTGCTTTTTTTTCCTGCTATGTTTATAGCTGAAGGATAATTACAGCTGTATTTCCTTGGAGACAGCAGTCTAATTATAGGAAGCAGCTTTCAATTGAAGAGTCTTTCTAACTCTGGAAAATTTGGGGCTGATGTGAACTGTTGGAGAGTCTCAAAAGACAATCCATTTGACCGCATGCAGCTGTTATGAGATTTTCACTTTCTAAAAAGAAAAGGCTTTACCCTATCTTTCTAGGTTTGCCAAAGATTGATTTATGTCCAGTTAGGGAGGAGGTTGATATTTCTTTTTCTTCATTCTCTTGGTGTTGATCTTTGAACGTTCTTTCTCCAGCCTTACTGGAAATTGTATCTACAGTGAAGGGGAACAAAAAAAAACAACAACAAAAATCAATGTTTAAACATGTAAAGGCAGCAAACATTAAACAATCTGCAAAAAGAGGTTTTCAATGTTTCAGTATTAAATGAAACCACATGATAAAATATCATATGAAAACAGCTGGGAGGGCTCTTTAGTTTTGCTGTTTAATAAAGGAAAAATAAAGTTCAAGTAGTTTGAAATGTTTCTTCCTCCCAGCTTTACTGTTGAACTATGTTTCTGAATTCATCACTGACACTACAGTTAATAATCAAAGGACTTGAAACATAATATTGCAGTGTAGCGCATTTTCTGTGTTGCATGAAATAATGTTTTCTTAATTAAAATGCATGCTCATTTGGGAGCAGATGGCAGAAAAAATGGCTCATTTTTTCAAATGTGTCTATCAAATATAAATATATAGTAAAGAAAAGTCACACAACATGGAAATACAAAAAAAAAAAAACCAAAAAAAAAACCACCAGAAACATTAGATACATCAGTCCAACAGTTTCTGAAGCATGCCGGTATTGGAAAGATCAGAAGATCAGCATTTTGCTAAGCAATATATTTGCACCTGAGATTCTTGCAATAGCAGTAAACCAGACCCTCCCCTACAACCTGCCAGTAAGTACCACATTAGTACTGAAAGACTTGAATGCCACCTCTGAAAAGAGACTATACTTAAGTACCAATTTCTGTGATCAGAGTGAAATAGTTATGAGAAGAGCGAAGCATAAGGATTCAGGCTGAACTTCTATTTCTTAATCCAGTGGTACCAGCAAGGTAGTACAGCAGCTCCCAAACAGCATATGCTTGCTCTGCTCAATCAGGACAGCAGAATGCTTTCTTTACGTAAGCACGCGGGTGCAACTTATTGGAGGTACCTGAACCAAAGGTACATCTCCAATCTCACCTGACTTTCCAAAATGGAAACCATGGATCATGCATTTCACATATTACCATCACAAATAAGAGAGACAAAGACGAAAAATGGCTGATTATTGATCACGCTTACATCTTCTGCAGTGAAGAATGAAATACAACACAGGTAAAACACCCCGGGAAAATGGTTTGAACGTATTAAGTGTATGCAGCAAATGCCTGTGTTGAGGTCCCTACCTGGGGACTTGCGCAGGATGGACTGTCTGACAACATCGGTTCCGAGATTTGATTGCTTGAAGCGCTTTGCTCTCTCTTCAAAGAACCATTCTCCTGTCACTATCCTTAGTTGTCTGCATGGGAAGAAGACAAAAAGCCACTAAATGCAGTCTTTCCACATGTCAGGACTGTTACGAATTACCCATATGTGTGTTCAGAGTTCAGACAGAACTTGTGGCTTTGCTATTGTTTTGGATAATGCTGTCTTTTCTGGAGGTAACTGGAAAGATTTCAAATCCTTCTGCTTGTACTCACAAAAAGAAAGCCTGCATCGTCATTGCTGTTTTTGTTTGGTAAGTTTTTGATGCGAATTGCCAGGTGTCTTTGAACAGGTTTCATTATATTAAAGCATCACCACTTTTGTTGCCCTACCACGTACAGTTGATGGCAAAAAGCCACTAATCACAAATATTCCAAATGGATGAATAAATAAACATATAAAATCACTCAAAAAATGATTCAGTTCCAGACACATTCCTAATTACTTTATGTCCAGTAAGAAAACTTGCTAACCTATTCCAGAAAAGAAATAATTTAGCCTTCCTGGCATGAAAATTCCAAATCCAAAACATGCACACAAATGAGGTAGCAGAAGATTACTGCCTTACCTCGTTGTTGCATATTTCTAACATCAAAATCATGTATTTTGTATGCACAGTAGGTCACTACGCAAGGTGTTAAATAAAATCTCTGCATTTCCACTCAGAAATGTTAAATTACTTTTTTTTTTTTAAGATACGAATATTAGAGTCACTGTATTAGAAACTATATGATATGAAAACCAGTTTTTTCCAAACGTGTATTTTCACAATTCATTTACAGCATGCACTTCCCTGTGCAGTTATTTTTATGTCAAGGTTTACAGCAAGTTTAGTGCTTTGTATCACATTGTAAAACTGTCATACACTCAACTATACCAGTGCATTCTACTACAACATAAATGATGTATTAGATGATCTACGTGGTTCACTTATTTTTCCCTCAGCTACTCCTAGGTTTGGCACAAAACTCCCCAAGTGTCATTTTCCCCTTGGATACAGGCTTCATTTATGGTCTGGGTAGAGGTAGGAGGTCCTCCCCTGACATCCACCTTCTGGAAACCATCTGTAGTCAGCTATTCTGAGAGTACTTGGAGCAAGTATAGAGGCCTCAACCTTTACATTGGACCTTTATCCTTAATATCAACATCACTTTGTCTTGGCTTCCCAGCCTCTGGTAGCACTCGTTTGTGAAAGTGTCCATACCTAACAGATTCTATAAAAATATCACATTTTAATGAAATAAGTGGGAAAAATAAAAAGCTCTGTACTTTTTAGCACACTAATACAGGATGAGATGTGCAAATGTATTTTTTATGTATGCTGAACAATTCGTAGGAAGGCTAATGTTCATATAATATTAATCATTCATGCACTGCAGGAATATCTACAAAAATAATTCTTGTTCTACACGAATGAAAATGATTTCAGATTATATGCCAAAGTTTCTGACTTGAGGTTTGAATTTCATAATTGCACTTGACATTCCGAAACAAAAATTGAAACCTAATCATCTTACAATGACATTATTTTCATGCACGTATAATTATGACAAAGGCAGGCTGTCTTTCCTACTAAAATAGCACATCTTTCTTCTATTTTTGATACCGAACCTAAATTAACCATTTCCATCTAGATAATTGTTCCAGTGGGAAGAGAATCAAGATCACATACACAGCATTACATCAAATCAGTTCTCCCAGGTTTGTTCTCACTTGTTTTTGAAATGGATTCAGGTTCCATCACTGCTGCAATCATGGTACACATAGGTATTTTCTTTCCTTCATCAGTTAGCTACACATAGCTACATACAAACTTACAAAAATGTGTTTTACAAACAAAATTACAAAAAATGTTTAGCCTGGCCTTCCTGGATATGTGACAGATGTTAAAACCAGTACCTTTAGAAAGAAGGAAACTAGAGTTATAAATTTTAACAGTAGCAATTGTTGTTGACTGCATTTCCCTATTCTCAAAATACGTAGGAAAATTTTAAAGAAAATCATGTTCAAGTAGCTACATTTAGAACAAAACACTGTAGGTACTGCATAAACTCCTCAGTGGGTTTTAATTAGTGAGCCTGATAATTACATACACGTGTGAGAGGGAGTATTCATGCTTCTTCCTCTCTAACCTCCCAATAAACACAGTAGCTTCATTAACACATTGCTCAGCTTCCAAACAATACAACCTGTAGCCTGTCCCTACCAACAACTCAGCTTGTTATTTTCCACTCTCATTTTTGGAAGACACTTCATTGTTAAATTCCACTTAAGATGGAAATTACCAATTTTTACTTTTTCTGTGAGAAAAACAAAAAAAAACAAAACAAACAAACAAACAAAAAAACAACAGAAAAACACCACTACCAAGTATCTCACTTCCTCTTTGGGAAGTAAAATTGGAAAACAACAGCAGGACCAAAAGCTGGATAAAGTGTAGCCTATAGATAAATAACCAAAACATACACACCCACCTTTGCATGCATTCAATTGCACAGAATACTTTCTACAGCATAAATTAATTTCAGAGTATTTTTTATATGCTGTGAGGCTATTAAATAGAAAATTGTGATTCTATTAAAAGAAGACAAACGTACACGGAAGTTGGCGTGGAGGGAAATCTGATGAACATTTTTATTCTAAAGCATTTGAAGTATCTATTCTTAAGATCCTAATGTGAGTAACTGTCACAATGATACTGAGTTTTCATGACACTTTGAGACAATATAATTATTGCACAGATGAAGATAGGTCTCCCAGCACTGCTTAATTCAATTGTATTAACCTGGGCCACCTAGGTATTTTATCTTGCTGAAGAATTCAAAAATAAAGTCCCCATTCATATACATCTAAACATAACCATGATGAAGAACACAGCATTAAGATGAAAAACTAGAAGACTGCTTGAAGAATGTGATTTTAAATTAAATGATAAATTTATTCACATTTTAAGATGATACAGGAAAAATGTGACCTAGATGGAAAGTGTCTCTTCTAGCACCTGTGTTTGATAGATGCTGATGACTCAGCTGTTCCTCGTATGCAAGGAACGGAGCAGAAAACTTTCTTTTTCACCAAGTGCACTGCTACACAAAGGCTCATTTTATCTCATTAAACACTATAACATCTCATCTCATTAATAAAGACTATCTTATTCTCTGCCCTCAGTGACAACAGACCACAGAATCTGGGAGAAGACTTGGCTCTAGCTCTTCTTGACCTCTGAATAATTAATCTTGCAACCTTATATCCTATCTGGTAATAACTCTGATAACAGAAAAAAACAAGTTACTTTCTCCTTAAGGACACACAAATGGAGTATCCTTCCCCTGTAACTAAAAACTGCAAGGTAGTTTATGTATAAATCTCAGTCTGTTATTCTTAAAAATTCTAACAAACATCTCTCACTTTTTGCATCCAAATTTCTTTCCTCAAATTCACTAAAGCTCTCTCTGAAAGTGGTTTAGAATGTAATTAATGATTTGTAATGAGCTTCTTCATCACCACCTGACCTTAGTGAAATAGTATTAAAAGGTACTAAAGATTATTTGGAGGCACCGAAGAGATTAAGTCAGACTTGCTTACTGCCACATGAAGACACTCTGGTGGACAGAAAAACAACGAGATAGATTTTATTATTAAGCAAACAGTACCTCATCCTTTCAGCTACCATTATGTTACCATACAAGTGTTTAATTTGTTCAGAAAACAATACTGGGTTTTACCAAAGGAGTATCTTGAGATAAACCGATCTTCAAGTCAATCAACACAGTTGCAAATTGGCCCTTTTTTTCCTCATTTTTATTAATTTTTGTATTTCTGTAGCTGCACACAAACTCACTCTAAATATTAATGCTATTCATAGATGGTATTTCATCAAAGGCTGTAGGACAGAAATCCCAAACTCCTGTTCATGAGTGGATAGGCTGGACTCAAGAAACAAGAAAGGGTCAAAATGCATTAAAAGAAGCAATAGACCAAAGCTGGCTGATATTATCAACATTCTCTTTCGGTGCCCTAAGATGTCTTTCGTTTCAGCAACTATTTTGTATTATTTGTGTAGTTCAGGTGATTTATCCAACACATTTTGCGGTACTTAAACATCTCTTTTGCTAAACACAGTAGATTCTCAGTATACAAATTTCTTCACTGACACCATGTGTATTGCAGCAGACTTTTCAAGAAAGACTTACTTTTGAATGTGTTCCCTCAGATAAGCAAGATTATTATTATATAGCATACCATGCAGTTTACTGCCACTACCATTGCATTAAGCAGTAGTTAATAGACATTCTTGTGGACTATCCTGGCAGAGCAACCAATAATTAGTATCACAACAAAACCAAAGAGAGTTCATGAAGGCCAAGAATCCATCCCTGTCTTTTAAGAGACTTACAGAGTCTCTCTTGTACAACATACAGCTGTTACAGTAGGTGCTAGTGTCTATATCAGTGTTGTCTTATACCTCTTTCATGAAGGTTGCTAAAAGAAAATAAGTGTAAAGAAAAAGGAAAAATTGCTAGGTTTTTCTAAGTCACTAGCATGGTAAAACAACTCAGTTTAATGGACTCAAACACTGTATGCAGATCAATGCCATGTAACTTAAAGTTTTTTCTCCTTCTATCTTGTGTTCTTATTCATGCAGCATAACTGTCTCTCTTAGCACTGGTTTCTCATTTTTCTTGTCCTTGCCTTCAGCCTTTCAATCTTGTCAAAGCCTCCCTTTCTATTAACTTCCTAAATGTAATTCAGAAAGCCTAATAATCCTAATTTTCCCTGCCTTTCTCATTTAAGTAAAACAGAGGAAAGCAAAAACGAAAGAATTTTAAAGTATTTTTTTTTTTTTTTGCATAGAGATTGGATTTAACTGAAATACCCATCTGCATCACCTCTACATTATCCACGTAGAAGATAATGTGTTTTCTTAGCAGCATAGCAAACGTTTTACAGATCATTAACTGCCATTATAGTCTTACAAAAACAACATATAAAAACAAAAAGGACTAAGATTTGAATTTAATAAAAATACATAATGCTAGGGTTGTCAAGGCTTTAAACTTATACCATGCTTTGCAGTAACTTACATGCAAGCTTCAGCTGGAGTTGATATTCAAGATGATTGCTAGGGCCATTGCTTGGAATGCAGAATGCAACACAACCACATACATTTTGAGAGGTGGCCACATGCACCTTTCAGCCACAAAACAGAACCAACTACTGACGCCATCATTCCTGAGACAGGTTTGTGTAGCCTGTTTTTAAAACAAGATTCTGCGTCCTCTCCCGATTATATGAATAGCTTTTTCATACCAGCTACCCCAAATCCTTTCATTGCAATTCAAGAATCACATTACTTTTCCTATCCAAAGTCAGTATGTAGAACAGCTTGTATACATCCACAATGCAGTTGCCTTTTGTAGATTCTAAATTCAGTTATTTCAACTTCTCTCTTGCCTAGGCCAAATGTTTCTGTCTCCCTCCATTACCCTGGACACACCATGTTCTAGGCTCATTATCACTATTTTCCGCTCAACCTGCCCCAGCTGACCAACTTATAGCATCCTACATAAAATGAGGCAGAGTACTCTATACAAAAAATGACAGTATCATGTATTTTGTAGGCCAAACTTCTGTTTGCACATCCTAAGTGATGCTGGACTTATCCGCAGCTGCATAAAACTGTTGATTCATGTGACTCATGTTCAGCTTTTCGTTCAGTGCATTATACCAATCCTTTCCTAAGGAACAACTGCTTAAGCTTTTTTTCTCACTCTGTGTTTTATTTTCTTTTATTATCTATATATTTGGCGTGAGATTAAGAAACAACGGTTCAAATGTGGGTCCGACCAAGTTATTACAAATCTTAATCAGGGAAATTGGGAAGGGGAGGACGAACACTATTACGAATTAGGGTAATGAGAAAGGGAAGGAGGGCGATAGAAAAGATAGAAAAGAAGAAGCAAGGAGTCTTTATAGGAAGCAAGAGGGAGATAGTCACCACCATGGATCCAGTGAGGTTCGTAGTTCAGTGATTGCTAGTGGTGGGTCATCAGGTATCGTTCTGTTGATGATGACGATTGCAACAACTGGAGATGATGGCCCCTTTTCAATGGTTCCAAAGTGGTTGAGTCAGCTGTCTTTGGAGTGACAGCTCAAACCCAAGGTGGTTGAGTTAGTTCTTGAAGTGGCAGCTTCTGGCTTTGGGATCTCAGCGGAAACTCCTTTGTTCCTATCTTCCTAGCCTTGCCAACAGATAAGAGGGAGCAGGGAGGCATCAACTTGTATCTTGCCTTCACAGGATACAATGGCATCATCCCCGATCCTCCCATAACAAACTGGAGTTATTCGATCACAGGCTAGATCTTCCGCCAGTAAACAGTCCTGAGCACTATCTTCCAAAGGCAAACAGCTGAAATTGTCTGCACAGTGATGTTGATTGCCACACAACAACACCCATCACTCATCTTCTAGACAAGTCAGTCTTATCGCAAGAAATACCTCAGGAAACAAGCTTTGAGCAAAAAAAAACAAAGAAGGATTCTCACACCCAGGCCTGTCCTTCAACATATCTGCAACATCCCTCAGTTTCATGTCACCAGCAAGTAAAACTGGCAAACTCATCTGCTGCACCAAGTCCCAAACTAAAGCATTGAACAGTAAAAATCCAGTGAATACTCTGCTCTAAACCACTGTTTTCTTTGACAATGAAATGCCAGCAACTACTCTGACAAGAGAGCTTTGTAGTTCTCCAGGCACATCCGCAATTACGCTGACAGAGTTTATTCCAGAGCACAGTCTCCCTTCTTTATAAACTCACAGGAACAGTACGATAGGAGCTATCAAAAGATTCACTGAAGTCAAGTTACAAGACATCTGTGCATCCTCTTCTATCCATGAGATCTGCCACTCTTTCAAAGGAAGAAATTAAAGTTTATGACATTATTTGTTCTTGAGCCAACTCATCATCGATGGTTCTTCTTAGTTCTGAAACGGTACTGTGACCATTTGTTCCAGTATTTGTAGAGAAAATAAAGGTAATCTGACAGGGCCAACAAATTCCGTGCTCTTCATTTATTTTTAAAAAGCAGACCTAGTGTTTGCTATTCTCTCTCTGTCATCTCACCTAGACCTCATAATGACAAAATCTGAAAGGCACAGAATTCAGATCACCTCAGAAATTGGCTGTAGACTACAAGGAGACCAGCGGTGCCTCTAACAGTTTAACATTTCATAAAATCAAGTGCTTGAATGTGACTCATCTTAGAAGAGGTGAAATGATGTCCTCTGGATGCATCTGCACCAATGCAGAGCTTACAGCATTTGGCTAAAAATTTAGACATTAGCTTTTTAAAGCTGAAGTCAGGAGACACAAACCTTAAACTCTCTGCCCTGCTCCATTAGTTTTTCATTAACTGTCTAGGTAGCCAAAGTCTGACGTAACTACCATTTTGGGTTCTCTTTTTGATACAATTTAGAAAAAAAATCTCTATTTCCTGATCTGTAAAAACCAAACAGAAACAAAAAAACACCAACAAACCTACAACAACAACAGAAGAACAAGCCCAACTCCCCTCTATGAAATAATGAGAAACTCCCTCTAAGAAATTACCAATTTTTACCCTTGTATCATGTCTTTTCCTTAGATCTGTAATTTCCTTACTGATGTGGGAGCTAAGGCGTAAAAACATTAAGGTATTTGACCAAGTTCTATTGCACAATGTAACTTTCCTTCCAGGTTATCTTACTAAGACTAGCTACAAAATTCCATATTACTAAACTAATCCAGGGAAATGCTCCTCCAAGTATATATTAAATAAGTGATTTTGAACATACAACACTGGAAAACAGTGCAGCAAATAAAAACACCAGAAAAGCTTCCATTGTATAACTGCTACGCACATGCTCTTGTGCTAAGAAGAGATAAAACAGTGACACCAGCATACAATTACCTACAGAGAGGTAATCTCTACATGTATTTACGAAAGCTGCGTGACTTACGCAATCTTGGCACACACAGAGCACTTCCACTGCCCATCAGTTCCCACTGCACGACACTTATTGCAGACTCGAAGTTTGCAGGTCTGGCACAGGTCTCCTCTGTCAAAGATGAAGCCCAGGCCTTTCTGACAGCGAACGCAGACCCTGCTGTTGTCCTGTTGGCAGTGTTGGCTTCCACCTTTCCTTTTCACTTCCAGAAGCTCATTTTTCAACTTCCTAGAAAGAAGAAAATAAAAGCCTTTAATTTACGACTGATTTCTGAATGTTATTTGGGTAAAATTTTTGGAGATCAATCAATATGTCCATGCATACAAATAAGGTCATGAAAAATGTGCTCCATATATTAATTGTACTTTTGACAGATAAATAACAAAGAAGAATAAATCTGTCTTCCAACTTCTCAGATGAGCAATCAAGAAGAAAGTATGCAGTCTTGTGGTAGATCATTATACATGACTGCAGGTAGCTGAATAGTTCTGGACTGCTGTCAAACTATCTTCGCTTGTATGTTATCAATAATTCAAGTCATGCTGAGACCAGGTTGAATGCAGCTCAAAACTGAGATTTTTTCCGTGGCTCCAGGTTAGGAAAAGAAAATCTTAGGTTAGGAAAAGAAAATCTTTCCAGTAACTAGTGAGCATTTGAGACCGTGACATGGTAGAGTTTGCCACAAATACAAATGCAGTTCTGCAATGGCTACTCAAAAATTCTTAGATCTTTAGAAACAAAACCAACTAACCATAGAGCTGCCTGTTCTGTGCCCCTTGTTCCTCAGGAATGAAGATCTTCCATTTATGAAAGGATTTCTGATGGTGGTTTATTCTGATACGCTTATACTGTGCATACAGTTGATTTCATCAAAGATTAGTAAGAAACTAACAGATAGTTTGAGGTTTTGGATGGCTAACCAAATGATATTATAGCATAACACCATCTTTTTTTTTTATTTTTTTCCTCTGTTCCTCCTTAAAGGAGAATATTGGTTTAGATATCATAACTTTCACATTACCAGCTCTACCATTGACTCTGCAGGATAAAAATATTTGCATTTAAAGACCTAATTTAAAAACAGCAATTTCGTGGGTGCATGAGTTAAGTCCTTAAGAGAAAAGAACCATATGAAAAGTGCAACTACTACTACAACAGCAAAAAAAGGAACTTATCTGATAGTAACAAACACATTTGTATCTTAAGACAATAAAAAACGAACAGTTAGGAGGGAGCAGGTGACTCATCTGAAAAAAAAAAATAATAATAAATACACCATTGTAACAACCTCTAAACAACCATAGCCTAGTAGTACCAGTTACACAGTATGGAAAATGGATAACAAGTGCACCATGCACCTAAACTGATTTATCAACATCTTTCATCCCCCAGTACAGGAACCAGCTGTATTGCAAACATCAAATTTTGCTACGCTAACATTTGAGTTCTCCTTAATATTAAGGCAATCTAATGTATCACACACTTAGACAATTTTAATTACAAATATTAAATAAGAATTTGTCTTTATTGATCTCCTATTTATATTAAAGAGAAGATAAAGTCCAGAAGTCAAATTAACAAGCTGCTGGAGAAAGAATCCTGTAATACACCGAGATTTCTAAGTCATTTATTATGATAGCATTTGACAGAAGATATTATTAAGAAGAAAACTGTTACGGGCAAGGATAATGGAATATTTTGTCACTCCTCTGTGAATTCATATTAAGATCTCTCTTCTGTTTGACAAAATACTGTACATGCATTGGAGAGGAGCTTTGTTGTATCTAGTGCTTCAGCTAGGACCTTTAATATCACATTAAGCACCAAGGACAACAAGAAAGACCAAAGCAAATCTAAGAAATTACCCTACATTAGGTCCATCAAACATGTAAATATGAAAGTCTAGCACTCTGTAAAGATGAGGTAAAACATGAAGGCAGCAAGAAATACAATTCTACAAGAATAAAGCCAAGAAACAGCCAGTAGTCATAGCTGTAGGCACCATCATGCAGCACCTGCAAGAGGCACAAAACATCCCTGAAGGAGTTTCACCCCCCCCTACTGAAGCCTTGTGGCTTCAAGAATCACAGGCACTCATCTCATTCCTACACAAATGAAGCCACCAGAGAAGGAATATTTGCTAATCCTAATAGACTTGCAAAGAAACAAAGAAGAGATCAGAAGCCTTAAGAAAGCCATATCTTTCCTTAGCATGCTTTACCTTAAAGAACATGCATACCCCAAGTTTATAAAAATTGAACAGTTTTACTGCTTCAAGTTTAGTGCTACAAGGCAAGGAAAGCACACTTACATCTTAACAGATACAAAGCACAGAATTCAAGTATCCTTAATTTTATTCTGCTGCTCTAAATCTTCCAGAGTTCAAACAGCTGTAAAAAAAATTCACTAGAAAACAAAAAAGTCTTCACTCATGTCTGACATGATACCTAGAAAGTAACTGCTACTGTCAATCCACAAAAGGATGAGCTATCACCAATTTATATTGACATTTCCTCTCATTGTAAAAATCTAGCTACTTAAGCCCCTATTTTATAAGCATTTCACATTTTGCTTATGGAACAGATTTTTTATGATAAAAAATATGTTAGGAATATTTAACTATGGAGATACATTGGTGGCAATGAAAGGAAATAGAAAGACAGGGAATTTGCAAAGGAGAAGAGAATTGGAGTGATGAATAGCAGAATGGGGGACAGAACAGAGGAAAGGAGATGTGGAAACTGAGATCATATTGGGGACTAACATTCACACACTTCCACAAATCAATATTTTTCTGAGCAAGTTCTTTATCCTCTCATCTAACGACTATTACCAGTATTTAAAGAAACAAAACCATCCAAAACCTCAAATTATCTGTTGGTTTCTTACTTACCTTTGATGAAATCGATGTTTGCACAGTATAAGTGTATAAGAATAAAGCGCCATCAGAAATCCTTTCATAAATGGAAGATCTTCATTCCTGAGGAACAACGGGGCACAGAACAGGCAGCTTTATCCTTAAAATATCCTCCTTAGCAGTAGGAGCTACTTCATCTTAAACAGTCTTCAGTTCAAAGAGTAACAACATATGACATGGAACTACCCAGTTTCCAAATGACACAGCCTCCACACAACCAACTTCCTTTCTTCCCATCTACAGAGGGATCAACAGTGCCCTTTAACACAAAACCTCCTTCCTTAAAATATTACTTATAGCCAGCGTTGCAAAAAACATACACCATGTGCTACTATATACTAATTTGCAGTCATTTTGTGCCTATGAGTCCAAATATATAATCACCAGGTAAACCACATCTATTGTCACTCAAATTTAAACATTTGATCTACTGTTTGTCTTTAGTTACATGGTGTATCCATGCTAACAGATTCTCTTATACCATAATGGAGATAATACCTTAAATTGCTTCTGTGGATCTGTTCTGACTGCTCAAGAGATACCATTTTAATAAATGGAAGAGAGAGGAATGCTAACCTCCCCTGACAAGAATCCATGCAATGCTTGTACTACTTTTGGCAATCTAAACACCGTGGGAACAATGAAGGTAATTACCCAACCAAGCCTGATTCTTGTAAGAAATTGTCATTTTCTTTAATTGTTTTCTCAGTTCAGCAATTATTACACCGGTTTCCTCTCTTCTAAAAGCCTGGCAACTACAACTCACAGCTTTTTTTTTTGTAAACAAAGCTGTCTAGGAATACACTCAAGGTAAAAAAGCAGTGTAAATTAGCAAGTAAGCGTGTCATGTGTGTTTGCTCTGTGACAGCATATTAATACCAAGGTGGAGAGTTAGCTCCAAATGCAAAGTGCTGTGACCATCAGACCCAGGGGCCTGTGTAACATCAGACCTGGAAGGAGGCAGCAGATCTGCTGCTGGAATAGGGACAAACCAACAAACAGATAAACTACAGCTTGTGTACAGATTCTTCTGATTTAGTTTTGATTTCATGAATTGTAATATCACACATCTACTGCACAAGGGCTGCTTGAAAGTAATGCCTCCTGTTTTATTATGTTGGCCCACGACATCAGAAGCACGCGTTGGTATAGCAAGAGGCTGAACCGTCTACCAACATTCCATTCCTTTTTGTTGCTGTGTGACAGCAGAGGAGCACTCTGACACAATGGTGTCTGACATGGAAATGCAGATGAAGAAAAAGGCTGCAATTGAATTCCTCTATGCAAAAAGAAATGCCCTCACTGATGTTCATCAACACTTGTTGACTGTTGATGACGACCAAGCAGTGGATGTGAGCACAGTGAGGTGGTGGGTGGTGTGTTTCAGCAGTGGCAATAGTGCAATCTTCACTAGTGCAGCATACGTACTCATGTTCATTGTTGGTGAAAACACATAGCTCCTGGTGGTGATTATGTTGAAAAACAGCGTTTTGTAGCTGAGAATGTGCTCTATTAAGCAGTGTTACTGCGCTTTTCATACTTGTAGTTTCCATGGAAAGAAATAGGAGGCATTGCTTTCACAGCAACCTATGTAACAAGGGTTTGCCTAAAACAGTCTTAGAAGAACAAAACTTCAAAAATAGTAGAAGAGTTGAAAAGAAATACATATCCCAGTTAAGAACAGTCAATTCAGATTGTATTGACTGACACAGTCTGGATACAAATTTTTCCTAGCAATTCAAATGTATAATATGAAAACAAACAAACAAACAAAAAGCCAAAGAAAAACCTAACAAACATTTGCTCCCTCAGTATGATTAATTTCACTATTTTTACGTAGCTATTTTAGATCTATGTCACTGAATTATTTTACCCAAACAATCTTACCATTTGAAAACAATGATGATTATTTGACTGATACTAAAAGCATTATACAACGTTTAAGAAACAAAATGCTATTTTCACAATTAATCTGCAAGTTTAAATTTATATTCAAACAAAATTTTCAGTTACACAAAACACACAGATGTAAAGACATAACTAGAAATTAGCATTCATTAAAATGTGTTGGTTTTTTACACTATCGAAGCTAGAATGCAGAAAGAGCTCTTCCTGCCTTCTGTGTATTTCTCATATGCAAGTGAAATATTTACACATGATACAAAAATACAAGAACAACAACCTGCATTTCAGAACGCAAGTATGAGTAGTGAGTGTGAATCTGACTCTTAACAATTTCATCCTTCTATGCCTACTGTTGCTTCCTCATTGAATCCAAAGACCCTCTCAAGTTATTATGGCTTCTGAAGACATAGAAACAGAAAGAAAACAATGAAATAAACAAAACCCACTATTATTACTAACAGAGATTCAGGGTGGAGCAGACAGATAAACACTCTTCTGTATAGTGTTCAAGCAAGTATCTTGCCAGAATTAAAAATGCATTGAAAAAAGGATTTGTTCCTTTGAAGGTACTCCTATAAAATATGTAACAGATTGCACCAAATGGAATTCCAAAGACAGCACATGTTCCTCTGAAGTACACTTATGAGCCATAATTAAAGATAACCCTGCCACGCTGTATTTGAAAAGAAAAAACGATGACATTTCCCAGGAAGCAGTTACCAGCTTTGTACAGCTGTATATCTTGAAAGTCTTTTATGGACCATATTCCATCACTGTCAGACATAGTATGGTCTAATGACAATACTTCAGAAATGCCTTGAATTTCAAGCTAACTGGTTAATACAGGTGCCAGAATTACATGTAGCATCACAACTTGAGTTAGCCTAACTAACACAGTATTTCAGATTAGCCATGTTTCTAAGGTGCTCCTTCCATTTGTACCAAAGCACTGATGAGTCTAATACTACCTCTCCCTTAATCAAACCACATCCTATGGAGCAGCTCTGGGTTCTCAGTAGATTTGACAAAGTGACTTTCAGTGCAGTATCACAAAAAACAAAAACTAAAACAGGTAAGTAGGATTTTTTAAGACATCACTAAAACAAAGAAACAGTGACAACAAAAAACAGCATGAGTTTTAACTTACAAATTACTGCCATGTCCTACATGAGACTGGGACACAACAGCAGAAGCAAAAAGTTATTTAGGGTGTTCGGGAAGCTAGTGATCTGGTTACTCTCCTGCACTTAATACCAAAGCCTTTGACAGATGACTATTGCACAGCTCATGTTTTAAGGCCACCACCTTCAAAAACTGAAGTACACTGAAATGCTTATCCTGTTACAAAATAGAACACAATGCCTGGAACAGACAGTGCTCCATCTGTTTTCTTGTGTTCTGTTTTCTGCTTCGTCTGATGAATGATGAAGAAGGTTAAACAATTAATTCGCCCACTCCACCACAAAGATTTACTCTGTTCTTTCCAGTCTTTTACTAGGAGAGAGATGCCAGCTTTAGCCCACTCCATTTAGACGAGTAGCTATGTTCACTCTTCTAAAAGGGTTGCAAACCAAAAGGAGCATTGCATTTGGACTTGGTTATCTCAAGAGACAAAGCCTTCCAAAACGACTGGATAACTCTGCATGGATTCTCAAAATAATTTCATACAAAAGAAGCCTCAGGAAGTGCTGAATGTACATCTAAAATGCATTTCGGCAAATCAAAGAGAAGAACAATGCAGCCTGGCCTAGGAGGACATGTACAGAAACCAGCAAATGCTGGAAATATTCCCTTTGTAATCCATTGCACTTAGCAGCCTCATCAACACTGAGTGCTGCGTGTTGTCCACACTAAGCCTGTTTCTCAGAACCAACATTAGATAGAAAGACAGCAGAGAAGCAATTGGAAGCAGCAGCAACATACTGGAAACGTGTTTAAACCTTTAAGAGCTGATACTTTGCTGAAGTAACTGAAGTCACCCTTTGAACTATCTGGAACTCAAACTGCCTCCACACATTTTTCTCTCAACTTTTATTTCACCTTTTTTCCTCTGAAAAGAATACACAAACTCTATTCAACACTCTGAGTCTTTACTTATCTCATTAGCGCGTTCTGAGCCAACACCTTCAGTTTGATTCTTTTTTTATTAGTAAATCTAATAACTGAAGTAAATCCTAGGATTTCAAACGTAGCATGAAAATCAGCCAAGACAATGTGGCTGTACTTAGAGCGAGCCATCAGATTTCATTATACCATATTTCCATTATATGTTAAAGCTTTCTACGTTATGAAGATCAAATGGCAGCTTTCCAAGCAGACTGCAGTTCTAAATGATATCAGTTTGAAATATGAATAAGCAATACATTGTAGATAAGTCTTATATGAAATGATCATTAGAACAAATTTACTGCAGTACTTCCCTGCACCAACAAATGGCCTCAGACTGAAGTTCAAGATTCACTTTCTTATTCTTTTGCTTTGAAGCAATGGATGCATCAAAATCTTCTATTCTTAAAGGGACACACTAGCAAAAAAGTTTTTTTTTAAAACACATTTTGATCTGTAACTAACTGTGCCATCTCACAACATTGATCCTTCTTCCAGAGCATTTAGGAAATCTTCTCTGAGGAACATATCAATACCCATAATACAGAATTATATATATATATATTTACAATAATAGAAGTCTTACCTTATTCTTTTATCTTCAACTTTTTTCAGATACTCATCTCTCTTCAATACTCCCAGTATCATTTCTTTTTCATGTTCCAACAAAAACGACAGATTGATGATTTCCAAGTGCTTCGCCATGATTCCTCAGTGACACTTTCAGTGAGTGCTTCGTCTGATCAATTTTTCCAGTCAATTATCTGCACAGGTCCAAAGGCACTTCTGTGTCTGAATTACAAGATTCACAGTCAAGAGGTATTTCAAAAAATGTTCCTTTACATTAACCAGGTGTCAAGGTTGTATTGCTCTGCCTTCCAACTACATGAGACATAAAGGTTTCCTCTTTGTTTCTTCCTCAAAAAAGCCACTCATTTTTCTGGCTGCTGAATGCCCGTGTCCTGGCAGATGCTCTCTGACATGCTGTAGGCCTTCAGATCACATTCATAAGCAGCTGCAGATTCAGAATCATTCCTGGAATAACTTTCGTTCAGTGCCATTTACTTCAAACTATCTGAAAGTCAAAAGAAACAAATGGAAGTGATTTTGACATTACTGTTGTGGTCTGATTTAAGAAAGACTTAATCAAGTACTGGTTTGAAAGCCACCAAATCATAAATGCCTACTTAGTTGTACACTATCAAGTTATCTCAGGGAATAAGCATAACTCATGTTTTCTACGTTGTTGTTTATTTACTCTAATGGATGATAATTATATTCCCACAAGGGCTCTCTCTAGTGCATTACAATTTGCAATTCTCTTCCTACTGCAATAAGCTTAGATGACTGCATTCACTTTGCTATACTTCCATAATAATAATGGCCAGGTGTGGGACGATCCATCTATTTGTCTGCAATTAAATAATTGAAAATGGAAAGTAGAAAATTAGTTAAAATTTAAAAAGTGGAAAAACTTCAAAGGACAGGACTAATGGTAAGACTCACCCAACAACAAGTACTCTATCTGAACTTCAGCAAGTCACCCATTACACTTAATCACAGCTACTTCAGAGAAACAGGAGCTTTTTAGAAGTGATATACTAACTTACTACAGATTTAATTTAGGATGATACATCTTAGAAGAGCCCACTAAATACAGTGACAAAGATGAGTGACTAGCTAATGTGAATCCACTTGGAAATAAGACAAATTTCACTCAGTTTTGTTTTGTTTATTCTAAGCAAAAAGCAACTTAAATAAACAAGCCAACCACGCCAAAAACAGAAGAGGCACCTTGGTCCCTACTTGACCCTGCTAGGAGAAAATCATCAGGAAGCTACTTGAAAAATTCTACTTTGCTTCTTTGCATTTATTTTTGAACAGGAAGACAAACAACAGCAGAAGCTGCTGGAGCACTACACTTATTCTTAGGCTCTTGAAAATTGAGTTTCTATTCATTAAGGCCAAGTTATTTGCAAGCAAAGTAAGACAACCAACGTGTGAATCATACCTTGCTACTGTTACTGCTAAATTCTTCCCTGAACTGCCCAGCAAAGCAGTACTTCCATCCCAGCCAGGTTCTAACATCATGATGTGCTTGGGAGCACAGTGCTCTGGCATAAAATGGAGAGCTAAATCCAGCAACCAGAGAACAAACAAGACGCTTGATGGGTCAGGGTGCTCTGAATTTCTGTTTGCAAATTTACCATACAAGGGACAAGGTAGGTGGGCAACAGACTTACTCTAAGAATTATGCTGAGATTACTCTGAGAATCTAACAGCTGACAGCTCTGCCTGTGGCACAGGGCTTGGATATTCATGGTCCTTGGGGTCCCTTCCAACCCAATTCTATGGTTCTATGTTTTTCTCTATTGAAAAAAAAAAAAAGAAGAAAAAAAGAAAAAAAAAAAAGTTTTATTGAAAAAAGAGAAAACCGAAAGGGTAAAGAAAGTGCAATACAAACTGAAAATGAAAATAACAAAAGTGTTAAAATTGTCTCTGATTGTACCATTTCTATCTTGATAATACACTGCAAATAACTGGGGTTCTTACAGAAAAACAATGCAGTGGTACAACAAGCAGGTTGACAAAGAGCACTGTTCTATGTAAGATATTTTCTGGTATTTCTGGGGAAGCAGGGAAGAGAAAAACACTCAAAAGATTTTTTAAACAGACCTTTATGACTGCACCTTAACCTTAACTTGATGTATGGACATATTCTGAGCTTTTTTCATTTAATTCTAAAGAAGCTAGCATTCTTGGCAGAATACCTGAAAGCCTGAAAAATTTCCTTTGGCTAAGCATAACACCCATCCGTGGATATTCTGGGGGATTTTGTCATCAACACTGGGCATTTTTTCCCAAATATGTAGTCCAGAATTAATAAGGTGACATATGATAGGTGTGTGTGGGGCTTACTGGGAAGGCTCTGGTAGTGGCAGGTGCACGAGTGGCCTCTGCAAGAAGAGATAAGGATGATACTTAAGAGAAATAACAGGAAAAACATGTAGAGGACACTACTGGATCTCCACGTGCAGCCATGTAGGAACTGATGGGGCAGCAGTGGATGAAGCCTGAAGGAGGCACAGCCCATGGAGAGCCCCTGCAGGAGCAGCCTAGGGCTGGAGCTGCTGCTGGTAGGCACCCATGTGGAGCGGTGTTCGAAGGGTGCGTCCTGTGGTACAGAGCCATGCTGCAGCAGTGCTGGGAGAGCTACACGTGTGGCAAGTCCACGTGGAATCCCATGGGAAGGACTTTACATACAGCAGGAAAAGAGAGCGACCAGGGAGGAGCAGCACAGACAAAGCATTATGGACTGACTGCAGCCCCCATTCTGTTACTCTACGCCACTTGGGGAATTATATTAATTTCCCTATGCAGAGTCTATTTTGCCTGCGAAAGTAATTGACAAGTGTTCTCCACAAGTGTCCTTTTCTCAATCCTTCAGCCCTTTTTCATCATATTTTCTTCTGCAGTTGTTTCGAATAGGGGGAGTGAGAAAGTAGCATGGCGGAGATCAGCTGCCATCAGTCTGAAACAGTCACAAACAGCATTGTTCAGGGCTACAACAACATACCAGATGCTGAAATAACCCTGGCTTTCTACCTGTCAGCTATCCAGCGTAGCCATACATACCAGCTGATTGACAAAAAGGCACAGAACCCACTTTACCTTCCAGATTTTCTTCTGCACTATGAAACTGCTACTCAACACAGGATGAAAAAATAATTGGATTATCCTATTAACTCTCTAACTACTGAAGCTTCCACAAACATCTCAAGAGAAACTCATGTTTGTTCAGACCAGATTGTTCCTAAAGTTATTACACCCATAACCTCTGCTTAATCAAGAGGGAAAGCTTAGCTTATGCAATGTTACTATGTCAAGGACATCTTTTAGGTCTGAAGATTAGTTTAGGTATCTGGTATGTTTATCCTATGTGAAACAGAACTAGAGAAAATTTCTCCTTGTCAGTGTGTTCTATTTCAGTCCTGCCTGATGATACCAATTCTGTGCTGAAACTCAGTGAGAACGCTGCCTTCCCTCCGTCATGGACTGATGCACACAAAACATCACCCACTTCATAACAGCTATGTCTGAGCTCACATGCCTTTTGTGGTAGGCATTTCTATTATACATGTATTTGTAAAACAAAAAGAATAGCAACAACAAAACAGCAGGAACATTTCCTCTATTCAAAACTGGCTAATAGTAATGAGACGCTGTTTCAAATGAAGTAACACTTAATAATTCCCTGCTTTAGACAACGTGTGATTAGGCCCATTTTTAAGATGTAACAGATAAAAAGGCATAAGCTGACAGATGCTGAATATTTGAACCATTTTACAGGACAAACCAGCTAGCTGTTAGAAAGTAACAATGTCTATGTAAGCACATGCTCCTTTCAACAGACATTTGATGTTTTAGTAAGTAGCCTTGGGGACATTTAGGAAGTGACAACGTTTTCATCCTAAAACAAATGAAGATTTTACACAACAGTGTATTTTGTGAATACTAAATCACATACTAGGAAGCATGGAAGAATCCAAAGCCTCCTAGAAGGATGCAGGTAGTTTTAAATCTCTATTTAGCTTGGGCTACAGCATTAATTTCCTTATTCAGGGTAAGGCAACCCACCATTGGATTTGCAGAAAAACTAGTAGTAGGGGAGGAAGGAATGAAGTGACACAATATAAAGAAACCATGTATAAGTGAGCATTTTGAGCATGTTTTTTTGTTTTTCCCTTTCCTCATGGAAGAGGTTAAAGAACTGCTCATTGGGACTGTTTACAGAATCATAGAATTGCAAGAGTTGAAAGGGACTTCAAGAGGTCATTGATTTCAACCCCTCTGATAAAGCAGTATCTTACAATAGGTTGTATAGGTAGGCATCCAGCTGGGTCTTGAATCTCCACAGACTCCACAGCCTCTCTGGGCAACGTGTTCCAGCACTACATCACCCTAATCATACAGAAGTTCTTCCGCATGCTAGTACAGAACTTCCTATGTTTAAGTTTTAGGCCATTACTCCTTGTCCTACACCACTGAGAAGAGCCTGGCCTCATGCACTCTCCTCCCACTTCCCTTTAGATATTTATTAACATTTATCAGATCCCCTCTCTTTTTTTTCCCCAAGCTGAACAGACCCAGGTTACTCAGCCTTTCCTCTTACAGGAGGTGCTCCAGGCCCCTTATCATCTTCGTGGCCCTCCACTGGACTCCTTCTAGGAGATTCCTGTCTTTTTTTTTTTGAACTGAGGAGTTCAGAACTGGTAGTAGTCTAAATGTGGCCTCACTAGGGCATGGTAGAGAGGGAGGATAACCTGAAGTCAAGGCACACAACATCCACTGCTTTCCCCCCACCTACCAAGCCAGTGATGACACAGAATGCTATCGGGTTGGTCAAGCATGATTTCCCTTTGGCGAATCCACGTTGACTACTTATGAAAATGTTTAATACTCCTTACATGCTTTCTTCACTTGTTATCCCTGTGAAAATGGTAATTCTAGAATGCAGTCTACCTCTCTGAAGCTGTTGTTGCGGGAAGATGCATCACAAATAACAGACTCTCATGAGTAGGATGGCTCTTGAGACACTGCTGTTCATTCTATTGTATACTATGTATCTACTGTATGTAGGTCCCAAGTCTACCCAGAGAGCATTTGCCTACACTAATAAAGCAAAAGAATTACTTAAAGGCTTGACTAAAAACAGGAAGGAAAAAGAAAAAAAAAAAACACCCAAAGCACTGCAGAGGGGAAGAATATGCTGTTTGATTTTCCTAATTGTTAGTACAGCTGCCTGTGACAACTTGAAACACGTCACCATTGAAACTGAGTCTCTGTGAGGGATGTTAGTCAAAACTACAGGAAATACAGCAAATCCCCTGCAATTTTCTACACTGTTCATCAACACAACCTGTGAATGCAGCAGATCAGCAGCCCCCTGGGCACTCTGAGACACTTTCCGCCCATCTCTGCCATCTTCTCTGGAAGCGGGGGAAGCATCCTGCCCCTGAGAAAGAGGCAGGGATGGAAGAAATCATCCTCTTTTCTTCAACAGCACTATCAACA